ATATATGCATGAGTACCGCACGTGCGCATGAGTAACATATAGTTTCGCATGAATAGCGTATGTGTAGCGGTTTTTCTGTTTTCTTGTTCTGTTTTGTTGACTACCAACTGGATCAGATCCAACAGGTGTTAAAAACAGCTACTTCCATCCTCTCTATCTGGGATAGCTGTGTGGAAATGGAGCTGTTAATTTATACCACAGATGACAAAACGCAGGGGATACTTTTTCAATTCCTCAGATAAACGTTAAATGCGTTTAGCCTTAGCTTATAGACGCATAGGAAACGCCAGACATACGTTTACATCGTTAGAGATAAGTATAAATTACGTTACCTATACGCTAGGCATACGTTAGCGTTACCGACTTAAACCAGTTTTTGCCTGTGTACTCGAAACCTATATGACGTTATTCTCACAAAACAAGTAAAACGAAATAGAGCATAGCGTTTTACCGATAAAAATAAGGGTGAAATCAGCTTGGGTTACGATAATCCTACTTCTTTATGAGGAGGAGGGGTTATTTTACGCTTAGCGGCTTGATCTAAAGTCTCACGCAAACTTACTTAATCACAGTAAATGTCACGTCCCTGTGATGTGGAAGAGGATCACCCTGGGTTCCATGTTAACACCCCAGATAAGCACTTCATCAAAATCAGCAGTGTCCTCCTCTATCACTGCGGTCATCAGTCATCATCGGGACACCTGGGCACGAGACGAGAAAAGTAAGTTTTCCTGTGCACGCGGTATTTATCTGAGATTACCTCGTGTCTTCACTATTCAAAATAAATACCTTTTCAACGTGCCTTGATTCTTGGGTTTCTCTTTTAGAGATTTTTCTTACATGTATATAGCTGGGCATCATATAAAACCACCCTTTATTATTTTAAACCAAGATGTTTCAAGAGACAAGACGAGTAAAGAAATGAAGAAAAAAAATTAAATTTTAAAGTTTTCAAAATAGTTTATAAAAGTGCTGAAGTTGTCGATGAAGGGTTTGTTCTTTTATTATAAATTGAATATGACTATATAAGAGAAGTTTTACTTATAAGTATGGAATATTCATTACTGGCAAGAATTTCTTTATGAAGCATGTGATATACTTGTTTTGGTATGTGTCACAATATGTTTGACTAGTAAAGCAAACTGTGTGTGAGTTTGTGTGCGTCCGTCAGGTGTTGCTCGTGTGTGCACGTGTGTGCGTGTGGGTAAATACGCGTGTGCTCGCACGCCTGTGTACGATGTGGTATGTATGATGATGGTGATATACAGACATTCTGATAGCTTTGTAATAAAAGCAAATCAGCAGGTTAGGTGACTTTTGAAATTTGGAGAAGCTACAGTTCTGCTCACTGATAACAATGGCAGGGATGGAGGGAGGGAGCGAACGGACGAGGAATAAACAAATAAAGACACAAACAGTACTATGTTTATGAGAAAACATGAGCTCGATCTTTTTGGACTTATGCTTTGTCTGAGTTAAAATCCAATAAATTATCTGCTGTTATCATAAATGTGAATGACGTGATCAATACTAACTGGATTAGGCTGCAGAGCATTAACGAGGTTTTCCCAATGTTTTTTACCTCGGGGGGCTTTGGGGCAGCAGATTCGCATTCCAGTCTTTATAAAAAAATACGTTCTTTTTACTCACAGTCTTAAGGAGATGATCATACAAAATGATTGTCGTTTTTAGTCTTTTGTCTGTATTTAAAGCCGACAAAAAGTAAAAGAAAACGATAAAAGAGTTTTAAAAGGCCATCTGTCATGTCAACAATTTTTATATGATCCTGATAGCCACGTTTGAACTAGTTTTATTTCACTGACATTTAGATCATAAGATTTCCGTTCGTTATTGCTTCATTCCTGGTGCGAGTTATCAATTCACCTTGAGTTGAAGTATGAGGAGGCTTAGGCACATACACGTGGTCAACTAATAGTACGTGTGTATGCTACAGCACCTGAAAAATCTAGGTGTACATACTGATCACCCCACCCACATATACAAACGATATATATCAACACACACACACGCACACACACACACACACACACACAGAGAGAANGCTTCATTCCTGGTGCGAGTTATCAATTCACCTTGAGTTGAAGTATGAGGAGGCTTAGGCACATACACGTGGTCAACTAATAGTACGTGTGTATGCTACAGCACCTGAAAAATCTAGGTGTACATACTGATCACCCCACCCACATATACAAACGATATATATCAACACACACACACGCACACACACACACACACACACAGAGAGAGAGAGAGAGAGAGAGAGAGAGACATCCAATTTTCGAGTAAGATATATATAACAAGCATTTTCAAAAGGAAAACGCACAAATCGAGTTAGCCTGAATAAGGAAAATAATTGGATTACTGACCGGGCAGCTTGTCCACATGGGAAAGTAGCCTATGGGAAATTGATGAATTGATATATTTAGGAAAGATAAAGGTTATAATTAGATGTCTTATTAGCAGATAGTTTATGGCGGTTTTCTCAGTTAATATGTGGAGTTACTAGGAAGACGTACATTGACAGGACGAGAATTAATCCCGATCTCCGGCACGAAGACGCTTGCGGATGACGTTAAAGCGCTACAAATTGATTGATGTGAATGGCCATTGTATGGCAGTCTACAGAATGTGAAACTATTTTGTTTGCCCATTGTGAGAGCGTCTAAATCATCGATGTGGACAACAAATAAAGACACAAACAGTTCTATGTTCAGAAAAAGTTAGGATACAGAGCAGGAAAGTCATCATGTAATGCGGCATTAAGTGTTCAATGACGGAGATAAGGTGCGCGACCCTCCACTGCTCTTCAGTGACGGATTCAATCATAGACTATGTCCAAAAAGGGAGACATGATGCTTAATGAGGCTCAGAGAAGCAAGCTTGGCCCCTTGCCAAAGTTGAGAAATAAAGCGATGTCGCTGAATACAGATTTGATGCGCCACATCAGATCTTAATAAAACGCCCTTTTCTGACGTCATTTTTTTATTTTTGTTATTTCAAGGATCGACAAGTCAGAAGTGCCAAAACAACAAGCAACTAAGAAAGTGCAATTTAGCACACTCGTATTACGTTATATACTACTAATCAAGCACAATTATCTCTGTATTATATATATTCCTTTACTCATCTTTTAAAGGTGGTTTTTAGTAAATAAATAAATAATATATATATATATATATATATATATATATATATATATATATATATATATATATATATATATATATATATATATATATATAATGTGCGAAAGGTTTCTTGAATTTGTTTGAAGTAGTTATATATTTTTGTCTGTTTTGTTTTGCCTAGTTTCAAACCAAACAGAAACTAAATGCTTACGATTTGTATACACGTATGCTTACCTGTATTAACTTACTTCAGACAAAAGCTGTGTTGTTTGTTATCCTTTCAATATGATTCAGTCCTCAATTTATTCAGATGTGTCAGGTTAGGGTTTCTACTATTGTTACATGGAAAAAGTCCGTACTTAATATTGTGGTTCAACCTACCGCTCCCAGGACGATATCAAAGTGTAATGTTCTTGTTTATTCTTACCAGAGACCGTCAAATGTGATCAATGTTGAGTTTTGCATCCTCAAAATTAGACTGCACTTTGGGACTAAAGCAGAACTGTCCCAGTCCCCAGGGCACCGCCTGTTGTTCTCCAAGCTATGCAGTCGTCTTATTACACATATCGTAACAAAGGAGTATCAAAGTGCAGCCTGCACAGCTACAAGAATAACCAACAGATTCTTAATTGATAAATCAAATCAAGAGACCACAATGAGCATGCACTTTAACTAAATGATGCCATTCATTACTGGTGAGTGGGAACGGCCTCACTCACCCTCGGTTATTGGGATCATTCAGTACCAGTCAATGTGTCTGTCGCCATCAAAACCAATCGCTGGTCTGATTATTGGCTTCTTAAACACACATCCTTGGAATAGGTGGCCTTTACGCTGAATGTAAAAATCGATCAGGGTCCTCTAAAGATGCCTCCATCTCATCTTGACCACAAATGTATATTCTACTGTCTCTCTATCATATACACATTTCTTAGGATTTCTGTGTAAGTGTTGTACAAAATGATGTCATTCACGCCTATAATGACATGTAAAGCAAGTACACGTAGGTTATGAAGTGCAAAGTACATCGGACGCGATGATAGTGTCGCCACCACAGCCTTATTCCACCTTCATTGGGAGGGGCGGATTGGCATTACAATACGTTATAGGGTATTTTGCCGTAGTTCTGTAGACCGTAGTTCAGACTTCTCTTCCTTTGCTTTGAGACGTAAACTGGGCCCCTAAACCCGCCCTTTAACCTGCTAATGCTCTCTAACTATAATTACCCATGACCAGAGTATCCCAATTTACACAATTTCCAGAAAAAACTGACAAAGAGGTTGGAAAACCCCTCCATTGTCGAGGTCCAGTGTCAACCATGGTAATATATCTAGTCTACCGTCAATTTTCACAATGCGAGTGTACACACGACTTCAAAGTTAAGTACAATGTACAACAACAATGACATAAAGTGTAGGTGATAAGTCCAATTAGGTGTGACGGTATACTGTAAGGGTTTGTAAGTATCAAAGTTTTAAAGCATGGACTGAAGGTTATTAATTAAGTCACGGTTAAAGAGCAGGTGTTTTCACGTTGAACATGTCTGTTTTCAGGCCAGTTTTTATACTATTTAGTGTTTTTCGAAAGCAAAACAAATGAAGGTCCAATCAGGCCACCACTTAGTGATACCTGAAGCAACCTTGTAGCCTCTTGGTCCGCCTATGGCCTGCAGTTTACTGGATAAAATAATCGGCACACACACACACACACACACACACACACACACACACACATATATAACACATATTATGGTTTTTCTTTGAAAAAATCAATAACATATATATATAACACATATTATGGTTTTTCTTTGAAAAAATCAATATTATTTCACATGTACTTTCTTCACTCTAGGGTCCATATCCAACATTGGTTCGGGTGGCTCGCTATATAAATGCAAGGATAACCCGGATGCTACTGCGGACTACACCACCATCATAGGAGTGGTAGGAGCCGCCGAGAGCAGCATCTCCCTTCAAGTGGCCAATCTGTTGAAGCTGTTTTATATACCACAGGCACGTGTCACCTTCGTCTTTTATTAAAACATATCACACATTTCTAATTGTTGCTCCAGTCAAATACCTGTAAGCGTACCCAAAGAGGCCTGTATCTTGAATGATCGACGTCAATGCCTATAGATTCACACATTCGGTTACAAGTACTACATTTTATTTTGAAATTAGATCCACGGGATGAGACAGGTTTACTATAGAGCAGCACATTACTGCCTCAGCTAGTACAACCTTTCCAGGTTCTCCACCTCATTTAAATCTAATCAGATAATTCATGTGTGTGTGTGTGGGGGGGGGGGGTCTTGAAAGTAGATGTTTATCGTACGTTTAAAATAGTGGTAGGGGACTTTGGGCCATACTAATTCGTGGTAATCGGTACAATGCATATCCCATGGTAACAGCCAGCAATTATAATTGGTCGAAGATTCTGAAAATGAAAAGCCAAAGACAGATATAACGCCACTCTAGGGTAACATAATGCAGAGCAGGATGAAAACTGAAAAAGGAAATATGGAAATATTCTTAATGCAGCCAAAGTATTAAAGAGGTTCCACGTGGACAATTGGAAATAAAGACCATGTGTTGGTGTAATAAAGACCCAGTGTTGGTGTAATAAAGACCCAGTGTTTGTGTAATAAAGACCCAGTGTTGGTGTAACAAAGCAGAATCTAAAACCAATTCTGGGGAAATAGAAGATGAAATCCATTTCCTAGTGTCGTGCCCTCTTTATACAGTTCTCCGATATGATCTTTATTCAGTGTACAATAAACCAATATAGTAACTTTGAGCATCTTACCAGAATGGATAAATTTATAACACTAATGACTGGTAAGAAGAATGAACAGATGATTGCTCTTGCCAAATATTTATGGTTAGTCTTCCAAAAAAGGGACTGTGCTGCACCCATTACCAGCAAGTGTACTGGCAGTTGAGAAGGTAGAGCCACGTGGGCTCTGCCAAATATGTTTTGTATTTTTTCTTACAAGTAGTCAAACTATATCACTATTTAATATAATTCATACTTATTTATAATTGCATTCCTATTGTACATTTTCATCCACCCATGCAGATGCATACGATACAATGAATAAAGCAAGATATGTTTACCATCGTTTGCCTATGTCATACCGGTATTTGGAAAAGTACCGTGAAAGAGTCGTTTAGTCGTTTGCCGGTGTAGTGAAATTGTGGGCACGTGTAACAGAAAGTCTGCCTTCCATTCAGTTATAATGGTTAGGGTTAGCCTGACTTAAGTGGGCCAAAATGTAGGGCGAGGCTAACCTGTACAAATGAATGGGAGGCGGACTCTCTATTATGGGGGACTCTCTGTCACGTTACACCGGCGTCAAATCCCAAAGCACCTGTATATCACAGAGTTAGTACCGTTCAATGTCCTCTAACTTGTTCTCCAGATCAGCTACTTCTCTACAAGCCCGGACCTCAGCAACAAGGAGAGATACCCTTACTTCCTGCGCACAATTCCTTCCGATGCCTCACAGGCGGAAGTCATGATAGAAATTATTAAGAAGCTAAATTGGAAATACATCAGCATCATATACGACGCTACAAACTATGGACTGAAGGTAAGATATATTTGCAAGAGCCGGGTGTTAACCTGATCACAGGCGTCTCTGTAGTCTACTCAGTTACAAAATTAAAAAAAAGCTTTTTCTGCAATTTTGTGAGGGTAGTCACGTGTGATCGGGACCACCCTCCGCTATGAGGGGAGGTTTCCCAATGGCGCTTCCAGGTTGGCTTACAAAGCCAATATGACATTGTTTGCACGGAAATTAATTGAAACTGTATATGAATGTTGGACAAGTTTCCATTTCTTTTAATGAATTTATTACAAATAATTTAACAAGTAAGCCTCCCCTCTCAGCACAAAGAGAATGTTTCCAATTGCAATCAACAACAAGGCAACCATTTGCAAACTAGTACAACTAATTGATATTGCACTGGAAACCATTGTTTTGAGATCAGTGCAGTATCGAGAACAAATTATAGTCATCATAAAAACCATCAGCTTTCATACCTTATTATGCAAAGGGCTCTCTTCAAAAGCACGTTTGAAAAGGATATCTTTGTGAGTGATCCAAATTTCAACTTTCAAGTGCCACGTTTCTAAACAAATAAGAAGGACAGAGTCCCAGTTTAAAACATGAGAAGAAAATCCACACCTAAGTCATACGCTGATCTCCTGTTACTTGGGTTCCAGGGCTTTGTCCGCATAGGAGAACTGATCAACAAAGAGGACAGTCTTTGTACGGCGGTCACGTACCAGCTCTCCCAGACCGACCCAGCCACACATGACGCCGCCATCAAAGCGCTCGCCAAGCAGAAGAATGCTAAAGGTAAAGTAAACCATGGTAATAGTTGGTCTTAATGATCGTCAGGGTTGCCAAGATTGCATGTGTGAAATGCACGATTAACGGAGGTTGAAACAGCAGGCGATATGGTACATACGTGTATATTATAGTGCTGGTAAGGGAAGATGATCGTTCCGAGCGCCACATGTGCAGCAACCAAGAACACATATTCATAAGAAGACGGTATCAGAACCTAGAGATGGATATTATATCATTCTGTATACTGGTGTTTATCTTCACCTTCCAGGTGTCATAGTGTTCGCCAAATACCCTGACGTCATCAAGCTGATGCGTGCTGTGGAGGAGAACAACGTGACGGGCCACTTCATGTGGATAGGCAGTGACGGCTGGCAGGAGGCACAACTCGCCAATATCGGAGGTTTTCGAGAGGAGGTCTGTACAGTAGATGCCCACCATGTCAGCTATAACCGTGCCCCACATGTTGGTCCCCCCCCTGGGTCTGGGTTGAGTTTGACCATGTGTTCCACAGAGGTCCCAATGGCTTGGTTCTTACTGGTGGTCTGTACTTAGGACCTGTGTGGAATACTGGCCACCACTCAGGTGTTACACACATGCCCCCCCCCCACCCCACCCCAGATGGTCATGCTGGCCTTGCTGAAACATGACGTGCCAACGAAATACAACCTTATCGTCATTCTCCATGTATTTTCCTGGTTCATCTCATGCCATTTAAGCAAATGAAGATTGAGTGTATACTCTGTCCAGGATAGTTACTTTAAAATTTGACGTTGCACATCCTGTACTAGTACACAATGCCTCGCAGTACATACATCTAGTACAAAGGTATATTTTTTTCTACCTTGTGTAGGCTGACATAGTCATTATTGACGCGTAACATTCTCTGAAAACCATGCATTCATTTGGAGATCTAGCCTATTACACAGGATGCGTTTAGTCTTAGACATTGTAAAATGTTCCATACAGATTATTTATGTAACACACGATTCAACACATACAACGTAAATATATTAAGACGCAGTTACCCTCTTAATTAGCTGAACACAGCTTTATACTTTATTTTCCTGTATGAAGACTTATATTTTTGATAAAAATATCTTATATAACAGTATACCAGTACTAAAACTCAACTACTACATTTCGACAAACGACCATCTTATATTTTCAGCTAGAAGGCGCCATAACCGTGCATCCTCTCGCACACACAGTGACAGGGTTCAGCTATTACTTCAGGAATCTAAAACCAGATCACCAGAACACAAACCCTTGGTTCAACGAATTCTGGGAACAGCATTTTAAATGCAAATTGCCATCTACCCAACTGTCGTATTTTAATAAAGACTATAAAAATTGCACAGGACAAGAGAAGATCAGCAAGGACTTCATATTTGAGCCTCGTCTTCAGTTTGTCAGCGACGCGGTGATGGCGTTTGCACATGCACTTAAGGTAAGAACCAACAGTAATTAATTATATAAGCTATTCAGCACAGGAAATTAATCTTATCGGAAATGAAGAAATAAGGATGAACAAAACATCTTGTTACGGAAATTTTGTATGAATAATGTTGCATAACAAAAGAATATATATAAATGTATATACAATGACACAAGATGAATAACACGTACAAGGTCGGTAGTTTTCTCAAGTATGATACAGGTACGACTGAGAATTATCCACAATGAATGGTGTAAAATACGTGAATTGATTTTTCAGAACATGCACACTGAAGTCTGCGGCGGACGGCGGGGGATATGCGCTGAAATGAATCCCATCTCAGGCGAAACTCTTCTTTACTATTTGAAAAATGTGCAGTTTACAAGTTAGTATTTATTCTTTGTATAGCGTGTGTGTTTAATATAATTACGTGATAGATCACTATATTTACGGGATAAATGCTGGAGGCAGACGCAGAAGTGTCGGTGCACAAATTCGTAAATTATTTTAAAATCTACCCAAAGTGACGTTTTTCTCGTCTACTATAAATTCCAATATAAACCAAAGACCGTGCATATTCATACGTGCCATCTAATACTGACCAGCCATACATCCTGTCCACACGAGAGCCTGCCCCTCCAACAGACAGTTTGACCTTCCTTGGTTGTGCATTCTACTACACCTTCCTACCACTGCTTCTCCTCCATCCGGTGCTCTAGGTCTGTAAAATAACGTAAGCTGTCTCTTATAATTAAGCAGTATATTTTATTATTTTAATATGTTTTCCTTTTTGTTGTCCCACTCAAGCAACATTGAGATATCATATGCTAATATTCATTTTCCATTTTCTCAAAGGTCTAGCAGGTGCAGAGGAATTCCACTTTGAAAGTAATGGCGACGGCGCCAATAGATATATTCTAAAGGCGTACAGACAGCGCTCTCCTGGAAACTTTTCCTGGGAAAACGTTGGTGAATACGACAAGGGAATACTCACGGTGGGTAGACTGATATACTAACATTACCCGATACCTTTATTCTAGATGCACATTCGTTATTTTGATTTTTATTTTATCCCTTACCATATGGAGCTATGATAAGAAGCAACGCGACTGGAAGCAATAAGTAACAACAATGCAGAACATTTATTTCAAACGAGAACAAATTGCGAAAAAAAAAACGTTATCTTATGACCAGTGGAAATAAATGACACAGTACAGTACAGTACCGGTATAGCATTACATGTGATGACACACTTCATTATCTTTGAATTTCCAGATGGAACCGGACAAACTGATATTCAAAATGAATTCCACAGACATCCCCAAGTCCGAATGCAGCAAGCCGTGCAGTGAGTTCGAGGCCACGCGGTACATAGCCCTGGACAAGTGCTGCTGGACCTGCCAACCCTGTACGGAACACCAGTATCTGCCCACGCCACACAAGTGCCAGGACTGCCCCAACGGAACCGAGCCAAATGTGTTCCGCAACGCGTGCACACCTCTTCCTGAAGTACACCTCAGTTTCAAGAACGGAGTAGCCATTGGTGCGGTCACGTGCTCCGTGTGGGGGATCCTGTTTACTTTGTTTGTGATCTACGTGTTCGTGAGGCACCGGGATACACCTATCGTTAAGGCGTCAAGTCGAGAACTGAGCTTTGTTCTCTTGGCCGGGATTTTGCTTTGTTATCTTATGACTTTTATCATCATTNGTAGCCATTGGTGCGGTCACGTGCTCCGTGTGGGGGATCCTGTTTACTTTGTTTGTGATCTACGTGTTCGTGAGGCACCGGGATACACCTATCGTTAAGGCGTCAAGTCGAGAACTGAGCTTTGTTCTCTTGGCCGGGATTTTGCTTTGTTATCTTATGACTTTTATTATCATCGCCAAACCATCAGGCGTCATCTGCGGATTGCAAAAATTTGGTATTGGCCTTTGTTTTTCATTGTGTTACTCAGCACTTTTGACCAAAACCAACCGTATAGCAAGAATCTTCGCTGCTGGCAAGCGGACCACAAAAAGACCGATGTTCATCAGCCCAAGATCGCAGCTTATCATATGTGGAGCCATAGTCTTCATACAAATAATGATCGACGCCTTATGGTTAGCAGTTCGCCCACCAGAGGCACGATACATATATCCAACCAAATCAGTGAACATGTTAGTGTGTTTGGCGCACGTTGGAGACGAGTATATCATCGCCTTTATCTACCCTATCATACTGCTCATTATATGCACAGTGTACGCAATTTTGACTCGTAAAATTCCTGAAGCGTTTAATGAATCCCGATACATTGGACTAACTGTGTACACCACTTGTATCATATGGTTGGCCTTTGTTCCAATATTCTTCACCACGGCCACAGATATTCCACTGCGTATGTGCATTATGGCATTTGTCCTCGATCTTAGCGCCACAGTGTCACTGATGTGCCTGTTTTTCCCACGCTTATACATCATTTTATTAAAACCGGAAAGAAACGTTAAGCAGGCTATCAAGAAGAAAATCAACACGCTTGAAGTGAAAGAGATGGGTTTTCACAAAGAAAAAAATTCGTGGTCGCGGGATTCCGGAAACCATTCTGAAGGTAAGGGCTTGATTGGAGGATCGTCAGTCGATCGTTTCCTGCAGGAGGCCAATTGCGTTGAAAGTGAGGCCCAATGCCGGGAGGGCGTGGCTCAACTAACACAATCAACTGGGCTTCTTATCCTTGGGATATCCGATACATGCCAAACATTGGCTGGCCCAGGTAAAATGAACATCTTCAGTATCGTACATAATAATCGGTGTCATGATCAGAGGATACACTATCACCGTGGCCCTGTGGAGCCTGAGCTGTCAAGCTCCTGTGTTATATGGGCCAAGGGACGGTAGCGCTGGAGATGCGGTGCCGTTTTATACACATTACATTATACCCCCTTTACACTGGACGGCGTCCTTTCTGCGACCATGAAATTTGGCATCGCTGTGGTCTTAATAAGGAGGCACAAGCATCGATTTTGTATCAGAATGAATGCTCAATGATCGGCCAGTTGTCGGCCGTAAAGTATTATATTTTTTTAACTCTCAAATGGGGATGTACTGCTGGACGCAGAAAGGACGCCGCCCAGTGTAAAGGGGGCTTTATCAATAGTCCCTCCTCATATAAATACGCAATGATTAGCCTACGCTATAAGGATAAAAGACACTTTATTTATTTATTTATTGTTTGTTTGTTTGTTAATATATTTATTCACTGGGTGAATAGGGCTATTGATCCATAGCAAGCGGACGGAGAGGTAAAGACGCCGGTTACTATGCACGATACTGTCCTGTGGGGCTACATCGCGTTCCCTGGCTTGGTAGTTATCCCTGTTGCGAAGAAAACGTCCTCGCTTTTTGGCTGTGTTTTTATGTCTTTATTAGTCCATGTGTTTTACTCTACGTTTTATGCTAAATACTGCTCTTTTGATTATTCCATTGCCTTTGCTGTATTAGTAGAATGTCTTCCACTGAATGCATCAAATGTTTGTATAAGTCCTATCTGTATTTCCCGATCAGGTGTGTGTGTGTGTGTGTGTGTAACGAAGGCCTGTGTGAAAAGGAATGGTAGTCCTAGAAATGGAAGTCTGTGGTCCCCTTTGATAAGTACAGGTTAGGGTTAGTGGGAGTATTGGAGATAGTAATTAAGACAAATGTAGCCTGTACATAGCGGACTACCATTCCTGTCACACAGGTCATTAATGCTGCACTTGAAGCAGAGTTTTAAAACATTGTCATCTTGCTTTTTATTGTAGATCTGGACGTTCGCGTGCGTCTAACAAAAAGAAAGGATTCTTTGAATAGCGACATAGAGAATCCGACTGTGGGCACTCAAACCCCAGCCAACTTTGGAGCAGACATTACAACTCAGACCGAAGGTGTGTGTGTCGTGATGGCAAATAATGAATATGCAAAGAAAAGCTACGTGGATGCGGCAGTTGCGACCGATGTGAACACAATCGCAATGGAGGAGAATTCTGACGAATACGATTCCGATAACTCTGACTTTGCCAGCATACAGTCTGATATACAGGATATATCACTCTAAGTCACAGTTGTGTTCTTGTCTGTTGAAATAAGACGTACCCATATCTCAAACTGCAGACATAGTTATTAACGTCTGTTAATTAAAAAAGATTATTTTCTTTCCAATTTATTATTCTGCATAGCGAACATTTCAGGGATATGTCAATATTAATTGTACATCTTGTTTGAGTTAGATTAAATTTTGTTACTTTTATGGTAGGAGTAAGTGTTTAATGTACCGTAATATGTGTTGAAATAGATTAAAATTTTGTTTTATTGTATAGTATTCATTGTTTTTATTTAATACAACGTTGTACTATAGATCGAGGCAATGCTTGTGATTTTAATAATAACTGCAATCGTTTTGTCCATCTGATATTAATAAAATTTAAAATAAATACATAAATATTCAAATGAATTAACAAACAAATAAATGAATGAATAAATAAATGATTAATTAACAATATCAAAATGAATGTAATGAATATACAGTATATAATATAAGTGATATATGTACGTGGATCAGCCTTTGGTGAAGACGCATTCTTGAATTGCTTTTATGCATCCATGCTCAAGACAAATCACTTATTTAATTCTTTCAGAAACATGATATGAGTTCAATGAAAATGCAACAATAAAATAAAAATGATATTCTCCTTTTTGTAAATTACACTTCAGCTACCCTTAGGAACAATCCTTTTATCTAATTTCTTTTTGCATACATGAAAATATGCTGTACAAGTAACCGCTTGCTTCGACATTTACGCCCTCTGGAATATTTGGAAGTAAAATGTCAAATACGAAAACAAACTACACTTTTCATGGTCCCTGGGAGAGGAGGTTGTCTTTATGACAAGAAGTGAATGTGTCCAGCTACGACTGCGCAGATATCAAATAAAGATGCAGCATGTATTCACATACCGACTTTAAGGGCCGCGTGAAACTTACACGGACAGACTCTTTTACTCACAATCTGAGCTTCGAAAATTCGGAACTGAACCAATAAAACATAACGAATGCATTCAGCTGACTCCTACTGCACGCATAGTCTAAGATACCATGCGTCACGAGGAGTCAAGCGCGGATCACGAGCACCTTGCAGTATATAAACCGTCTTTCTCGTCATGCCTTCATTCACTTGGAAACGCTAACAGGGAAAGTATGATGCAACATGAGGGGGTTTTGTATTTGGTAAACCCCCTTTACACTGGACAGTGATCTTTGTGCGTCCTTTGTGCCACCATGAAACTGGCTAGATCGCCGTTGGACGCTCAAAACACGCACATGGATAGTTAAGATCACACAAAGAATGTTTAAGCATCGCCGAGGACGCCATGGTCGCCGCAAAGGTTTAAGCATGTTCAAACAAACGCACAAAGAACGCAGTGGAGGTTGGTCACTGCACGGTCGCTCAAGGGACGCAGAGAGGAGGCACAAGCATCGCCGTGGTCGCATAAAAGACGCACACGCATCGCTGTGGTCGTAGAAAGGAGGCACAAGCATCTCTTTGACTGCAGAATCACTGGCCAGTGTCGGCACGTTTAACATTACTTTTATAACTCTCAAACGAGGTCGTGCTAAGGTATTTTTTTTTACCAGAGACAGGAAGTCTAGCGGTTTCATACCAGCCTCCGACTGGTATTTTTTTCTTAAATTCCTAACCGATCCGTTTTTGGAAGTTATTATAGAACGGATATTTGCTTTTTTTTCAAGATGCAGTTATTGTCGATGATTTTGCGGAATGCGTCTTTTGAAAAGGGATCAAAACATTCTATGTTGTGGCAGGCAGCCTTTTTCGTCTTCGGCGCCTGTTCATCCTCCTTATAAGGACAACAGTGATCATCTGGCTTAGTATCAGTCCATGCAGACTTTGCATTACTGTAGTTTGAAAAATAAGTTCATTTCTTACTATTTGTTTAGTTTTCTGGGCATGTTCTTATAGGGTGACAATGTTAGAACTGATGAAAAAATGTAAAAGAGTCAGAATATGTAGAAGGACGCCCAAACAACGCCCATCGGTCTAGCAGGAGACCGAAAGATGTAGAAAGGTCGCCACTGATGAAGGTTCAGCAAACGCAATAAGGATGCTCCATGGTCGCTCAAACATGGCACTGGACTCCGTAGGTTGCTCAGGGGACGCAAAGGGGAGGCAGGTATATCCCTCAGTGGACGCACAGATCGCTCGCAGCTTTACAGGTAAAATTTAGATTTAGTCTTCAAAATAAGCACAAGGGACGCAGAGGAATTTACACTAAAACATAATATAATTGCTTGGGCGACTGTTGAGCGTCTTCACCATATTTTTGATCGTAGAAGGGACGGAGAAAAGGACGCCGTCCAGTGTAAATGGGCCATAAGTAAAATTCCTGGTAATGGCCAGTAGTTAGGTAAGGCGAGGACTCGTGTATAACGTATTTTACATGTGCCTTATGGTCGAAAATCAACAGTTCGAAATTCTTTATTTTTTATTTTCTGCATTTTGAAATGATAGACCAATAAATATAAGGTCGGTTTTTCGCCAAGTCTCTAATTCCATGATAGAGACCATGCTTGCTAATAAATGTGTTTCATTGGTGGTGTCACGGTATCTGACAGCGTTATATGGCAGTTTCTAGCAGATAAAGTAACAAGCATAGGAGCAAAGGGCATTCAGAATGGTCCGATTCAACGCCGCCTGCTCCGGTCTCCTGCTTCATGTCTTCCCCCATGTACTCAGTTCACACAAACAAAAGTTAGACCACCAGGAATATGGAAGCTCCCCTGTAAGTAGCTGTCTACAGGTACCAAATGGGCAGGCTGCTTTGTTTTTTTCTTCAGTAAAACATTTTTGTTCTATACATATTACTGAGCATTTTATACGGTAGTTGAATTCTGAAAAGTATAAAAACACTTTGCTGAAGGCGCTGTGTTTTATTGCCGAACAGCCGTTGCCTTTTACTGTTTTTGTCCTTGGGCCAATTAACAAAACTTACCGTCGGCAAAATATGCATTTATGAATGTGTTCTGTGCAGTATATATTGATACATTGGGCTCAATACAACGTGTGGAAAATCATAGCTCTATGAAGGTATGACACTCACTCTATCTTTCTCTCTCTCTCAGATAAGGTTTTACTTATAGAAATAAGAGGTCAGAGTATTACGGTTACGAATAGAATCTCGAATGTAACACTCACACTATTAAGACAATCGTGTCAATAGTTTACGTTTTATGCAAGGTAAAACATTGTGTAGGTAGCGCTATAGTTCTTGATCACCAGAACACTATATTATATATATATATAGCCATGGAGAGCGGGAGGGTAGCAGTGATGGCCAGGAGTAGCACATGTTTACTGATGTTGTTGATATCTGTCTGGATAACTTCACAGTGGATCCTTCTTTCCAAGTTACCGACCAGCTCGTCAACAAGTGAGTACAGGTATTTATTGGTCGAGATTGATTAATTAAATGGAACAAGGAGTAAAAGTTAAATTCTATGTCTAGATTACCAAAACATCCAATTAAATATATTTTGAATAATGCTAAATTAGACTAAAACAAATGTTCTAAGCATTTCTGCTCATATTGCTTTTAGCATACACTAGACATAAAATACACAAGACAAAATAATCCTACACGTCAATTAGTATACCAGACATGAAATTCTACTGTTCTCCTTCTCATTAAATACACTAGTCATGAAAATATTAATCCTCCTCCTCCTCCATCCTCCTCCGCTTTATATATTCTAAAAAGGAAACGCTTCTCTTCTTCCTCCCGTCAAGTGTACCAGACAAGTCTCCTCCTCCACCTTACCCCCTCCTCCTATACTAGTGGCCTCGGCTGTCATCATGGTTTTATGCAGCCATGGCATCATGCAGGAAGTTAGGGAAATTTTTAAACCCTGTTCATACTTTACTTTACAGCAAGCGGCAGTGGATACTGGGATATGAAGTCAAATGACCATGGGGATGTGTTAGTCCACCGCGCAACTGTAGCCAAGGAGATCTGCAGGGCTCATAACATCAGCAGGCTTCCCATGGCTGATCTGGTCCAAGTTCTACAGCGGCCGTCCAGTTATAAGGGGATGGATGGACGGTACATAACATGGCTGATTAATGATGATAGGGCGCGCTTTCTTTACTGCGTAGTCCCTAAGACAGGTTCCACCAACCTACGGAGAATCTTGGCGGAACTAAAGCAGAGACCACAGAACGTAACACGAGCATTCAACTGGACTCGGATGGCGGCAAAGGAATCCTGGTTCTATAGGTTTGACTTTCTCTCGTCAAGATCAGCAGACCAAATTTCAGAAATCCTCAATAGGCCAAATTATACCAAGATCCTGACTGTACGGCATCCTATAGAACGGATCATATCTTTATACCGGATGCTTTTTGAAGGAGATCATTTCGAGAACAAAACGGTTAACTTTCTTCAAAGTGTCACCGATGGTATGGTGCAAATGATAAGGGGAAGGTTAAAAATGCCAAACTTGACATCCGAAAATGTCACATTTACACACCTCGTTCGATACATTATTGACCACGACCAGTGCATCAAGCAGGCGAGATGTAGAACAAACTGGTACGAGGCGCAATGGTCTCCCGTCTGGAGGATGTGCCGCGTCTGCTCCGTGGATTACGACATCGTTATTCGACTAGAGACTTACGACATGGACCTGCCTTACCTGCTGCACAGGGCCAACTTCTCCAGCACTCTCCATTATCCAGATTATTACAAACGAACCAGTAAGGATCTCACAGACAGGTATTTAAGACAACTAACCAAGGAACAGATAGACGGCTTGTATGAAGTGTATAAAATGGACTACAAGTTGTTCGGATACAGTCATACCAGACCAGATGTATTCAAGGATAAGTGGCAGGAGTAGACTCTGTACGTGCAACTATAATTATCTGCCTTATACAAAGAGCCATATACCGGTATATTCAGTTACTGGGTTCTGTTTCCCCCAAAGGCCAAAGTCATATTTGAGGCCACAATATTTAACCTCTGAGACTTAGCCGACTAAGGTGCGTTTCACTCAAAAGGAACGCTTACCTCGTCGGGCAGTTTGATTGATCATTTGACTATATTGCTTCTACTACTGCTTCTACTACTGCTATATTACTTAATTGAATTATTTATTCAGAGCTGAAAAATCCATAAAATTATGTTCTGTAGACTTAACAAATACAAGACAAATAAAATAAGAAAATGTCCAATTACAATGTTTTGTATTAAAAATATATACAGAAAATTTCCAATGATCATGTTCAGTAAAGTATAAAATGGTCGACCATAAAACTTTTAAATAGGTTTTAGAGCTTTTGAAAGATAATCTGCTGAGCTTATATTCATTAGTTCTAATGGTAACTGATTCCATTCATACGGAGCTGCGTATTCGAAATATATTTCTCCATATAAACACTTAGGTGTTAACACTAACTTGTCCTTAGATCTGAACGTGTGATTTGGTGGAATAATGAGATACAAGTTCACAGAGGTAATCTGGTGCAAGTCCACAACAAGTAGCATGAGCGTGTATTAAAAGTTTGAATCAACCCCGTGTATGTACAGGTAACGAGCATTGTTTATATTTTAACCTAATGTTAACGTCGTTATGCGAGTGCCTCATCCGTGAACTACCAAAGAAAGGCTAGGGTTCGTCTTTCTCCACCACTGGGCAAATACGGTAACTGTAGGAGAAAGAACATCCACATACGATACTTTTTAAAAATACTCTCGTGGAATTATTTGATTGCCACCCAATAATAGAAAAACAATTGTAATCTGCGACCAGCGACGATATAAATTACGACCGATGTTCTGTTGGCGTGGCACAGACTTCTGACCACGTTAACATTCGACCTGCTATCGGAAGACCGCAGTTCCTGAAACGACCTAAGGAATTTGGCCCCCACCCCTGCCAACCTCACCCCCTCCACCCGCCTACGGCTCTGTATTGAGTATTAAAGAGTTATATATATATATATTATATATATATATATTAATTTGTAGCCAGCATGGCTTCAGGACACCGCTGTAGTTGAAGTCCTGCTACTTTCAAAAAACGAAACTCCAAGCTGGTGAAAGGCAGATGTTCATGAACTAGAAAACATAAGGCTCAATGTTTTTAAAATAGAAAACATAGAGGTATTTATAATTTATAATCGAATATACATATAGTTGAAATACTAGTTTCCAGTCTGAACTTTAAAACTAGAAATAAAAATAACACACACACACAAAAACTAAATATCTCCTTCCAACGACCCAATTTCTCCCGCAGGTTCTATGCGTTCTGGTCTTTGTTTTAATTTCTGAAAACGAATTTCTGATCAGATGCTTTAAATATCTTTGTCATTACGCGCGCGGGAGTCCCGATGGTTATTATGTTCTTACAAGAAATTACTTCAGTAAGTACAACATGTTAATGTGAGCAATTACAATGAGGCTTCGTTGTATGTCTTTGTTCTGACCAATGCCCTAAGGAGAGTTTTATGTGTAGGTCATAGATCTGGCCAGCTGTATGTGTAGCCTGCGTTAAATTATAAAGTGTCATGTGTTGATGACAAGTTGTCAAGGATGCCAGGGAAATGACCAGTCAGTAATAACATAGTGCAAGCAGTGAGACCTTGGCAAGGGCGATGTTTCTGGGATAAAATGCACTTTTTGCACTGTTGTGGAATTTGGTTGTCCAAGTTGTTTTTGTGATGAGAGTATTTAACTCAGATGATCAAACGGACGATGGTTCATGGTGAAATGGGGGAGAGAGCAACCACGTGGATACCGTGTGGGAGCATCCCGCACTAACTAGGTCGCTCTATGACGTCACATGTACTTCCTGATTCAGGTGTACACCTAGGAATGATCGGATATAAACATGGATTATGATATACGGTGGAGCAGTAACATTTAAACTTGGGATTTCACCGGAGTGACGGACAATGGTCTCCTCACGTAATGACGATATTGAACAGTAAATAGAGGACGGACATATCATGGTGGTTATAATATATGTCATCAAGAATCTAGTGATAAAGTGGAACGATTTACATGTAAGTGAATCGTGCAATCATTATCTTATTCAGTCAAGCCATAATTCTCTAATAAACCTTAAATTTTGTGTGATTGATTCATTCGTGTGTCTTAATTTGACTTGACTTATACATGTATCCTCCTTATTATTTGTGAATAAACGTTAGCAAATTTCATTTCTTTTTTTCCTTCTTCAGTGGACATGCATTCAGTTACATGTAATTGTTCAATTGTGGACCTCGCTCATATCGCCGTCATACTAATTCTATAAGTGAATCCAAAAAATATACCAAATATACCGATTTAGAATTGTTTCAATTATATTTACCCAAAAAATAATACGTGCCACCGCGAATGTATGACAAATCTTGAGCCAAAATTTTCACTTGTGCATCTATCAATCAACAGTAAAAACCACTTAATTTAAAATTTCTTTGAAAATTTGTCATAATATCTTAAACTTAATGCTTTACGTTGATATAATATTTTCTGAAAATCAGTGTATATTGAAATTAGACAAAACAAAACGAACCAATTTATAGTATCCCGAATGTTTATGTTGAATTTTGTCTACAGAATATGAATTTGTAACTTTAAATGAGACACCTTAACTTCCCCCAAGCCGGATGGATGGTTAGAGCAACTGGTAGCGTGCTGGGCTGGAAACCAGAAAGTTACAGGATCGAGGTTCAGAGGAGTCATGTTTTGTTGAAAAAGTGAAAATCCGTCCCGTAACTATAAAGGGAAGGTCCAAAGTTTAGGGAGGGTGGTTGGGGGAATAGACGAGTCGGTAACGTGCTAGACTATGGACTAGAAGATGACCAGTAGATGACAAGATCGATTCCAGAAGAATTTTTGTTTTGAAGGAAAGAAAGTTTACTGAGCTCGGTATAAATGTTTCTTTTTACCCTTGCGAAAAACCTTTGGGTCGATAGCTCAGTCGGTACCACTGCCGACCAGTAGTTAATGGAACAGGAGATCGAAACTCAGTGTGAAAAAATATTTTATTTTTATTTAAAATTCACTAATGCATAGATTGGAGAGAAAATATGAAAATAACCCAACAACAAATTACCCCTTAGCTACTTTGATATGAAGGGCTTTATTTATTTGATATCTGTAATATTAACATATGACATATATAAACAATACCAAGACAAGATGCGCTCTTACATGTACCAGTACTAAGTATGCTGAGCTTAGTGAAAAAGTTAAGAGTTTCTAAAAGAGATTTTATGATTATTTTACCTATGAAGCAAAAGGTTTCGACTACTATTCAAAGGGCTTGACCACAAAACTGACTCGTCCTTATCAGAACATCTTGCCTTATACGGAGTAATAATCAGATTGACAGTTTTCAATGTTATGCAAAAACACTTTTGTCCTCGACTTTCTTTTCCTAAGAGGTTGACTTGGTTATTTTACGACATAACACTTATTATTTGGAACAGATGTCGCTAGACATATTATTACACAAAAGAAATAGCCATATAACAGGGAACAAATCATCTGACATAGATTTTTGAACAATCTCGCAAAAAAAAAAAAAAAAAAAATCGTATCAATCGTTATCACAGTTTTGTAGGTCTAAATAAAAATCAGTCATAATCCTTGTGTCATTCATTCTTACGTTTTTCTTTTACGGAAATTTACTTCAAACATAACCAATAAGTAGGTACATATTTAATAAATACGTTATCCAACACTATGATACTGAAATGTCAAAGTAACATCTTCATTGCTGCTGAATTCCATAAATGCAATGTGCTGTTCTAACATCTGAACTCTCGTAGCTTGTCAATGGAGTCAACATCCCCGGCTCTTGCATGAACTGGCAACTGAAATTAAATGGCAAAAATTGAGACGGATAATGAATTACTGGACAGTGCTAAAGTCAGTACTGTAAATATAACGTTTATCTATCGTATACACTGTATTGTATATATCTCGTGGTATTGCTGTGACTATTTTCTGTGCACTAATTTATACTTAAATCGTACTCCAAGACATAATAAAGTTTTACAAAATCTAGCAAATACAGAATCAACTGTCTGCATGTGAGTGTCTTGACGCCGCAGGGCCCGTTCAGCATAGACCCGATGGGAAAGAGGGTGATTAGCGGGTATTAGTTACTGAGTACTGCTGCTCTGAACGAGTCAACAGACTAGATGGTCCCAGTCCAGTCAAGTTTTTGGTAGAAAAGAGTTTCTATAGATGTCATCCTTGTGTTCCCATCTTGCCTCAGTTTACGGCCTTACTGAGGCTAGTCCCTATCTGACTATACGCTATGGCAGATAACTCCTTGACATTGAAACTGTATGGAGAACTTGGCATACTCGTACATGTAAGGGTACAATTTTAGAATTATCCATTTTACTAGATTTTGTTTGCGGCTTAGTCATAGGCATAGTCATAGAAAAGCAACACTCAATGTGCACTTACAAGTTGGTGTGGACAGATCAAGCTGAATATACCGTGTTTCATCCACGAGGATCGTCACCACGTTCCGAAACCTTTGCCTTCCACCATGATTCTTGAGTACCTGTCACTTGGCGATGTCTAATCTGAATAACAACACTCCATTGTATAACAGGTAAGGAACATTGTGTTAGAGAAGATACCAAGATGTGGCGACAAAAGCACAACATGAACGGTGTTATTTCAAACACATTTACTCTATTTTTTTTCAAACCAGCATTCCCCATAGTTCACGACATATTAGATGCTGTGCGCTCGCTTTATTTCTCTGACGGAATGTACATTTTGTTAGACACTTGACTTTCAATGTTCAAACAAAAATTTGTTTTGGTCTTTTTAAATGCAAACACAGCTTTCTTATTCAAGTATGCAGAAACGGGTGCGCTACTATTCATTGCATTTACACATCAAATAAAGCAAGAATTCATAGGAAAATTCTGAAGTTTGTCACTTCATTGATAGTAAACAAAACAGATCCGAGAACAAATCGAGATACAAAATGCATAAAAAGAAATGATTGAAACTATTAAATAGCAGAAATTAAAGAAAGAAATAAGACGACGTAAAATGCACATCGTAGTAAAAACAAATATTGAAATTCAAGATTCACAGTAATTTATAGAACTCCAGACTAGTCCTAGCTATATGACATTAGATCAGGTGACCAGTCCACCCAGGTCAGGTACCTAGATAAAGGTCTCAGGTTGAGACTGCAACATTGTTAAGTTGCTAAATGTAAGTTCCGGTATCAGAGTTATTTATAGTTCTCATTCTTATTCCACTGGATGACAAAAAACATTCACTCAGTTCATAGGTTTCATTCTTAAGTTTATCAGAGTACAAAATTACACAGTATTGATTTGTATGTGCAGGACGTGCTGATACAAAATAGATGCGCGCCTAGCTGCTTTGTTCAAACTTTCAATTAAAACTGGCTTGTTTAATAATATTTATTTATAAGCACAATTAAATTTATAATATTTATGCAAAATATCTGTGACACATCCTGGAGTTCCATCCAAATAGTAGACATAAAAGCTTCCAGTGCCCTAGTTACAACATTTCATTACATGGACCTGGATATCTATGGCAGGTTTACAGAACGTTTGACCTCGAAACAGAACACAAACCTCCCCCGTACTCATAGCGTCGCAGCCTGGGTTTGGCTGCGTCCCTGTAGGATAAGTTTTTCATCTAGCCGTTCTTCATCTTCTTGAAACATTCCTCCACTAAATTTTTCAATCAATCTAAATGCTTTTTCTTTAAATATTTTTGCAATAATCTTTAAAAGTATCATCATCAGATGTTTTACCACAAAAAATGAATACAACTAGGTTAAAGTACATGTAATCTAACATCTACAATTTAATTATACATGCCATACTTACAAGCTGGCAGCTCACTTGTAAATTACTTGGCAATTAACATGCTCATTATGATGTTAACTATGCAAAGACCCAAATGGGATCTGGCCTAGTCCAGTTACCGGTAGTACATGTAATATATTATCTGTATACCGTAGCAACTGTTGAAGAACAACCCAAAAAATCACAAAGAAAAGCTGTTCGGTCGAGATACACACAAAGATAGACTTATGTTTTTAATTAGAAGCAAGTAGTTTCCGCATTTTTCCAACAGATTTCGAATAAAATGTGTTAATTTTGGGTCCCAAGAGGGTGCACTTTAGAAAATTTGGAGAACAGAAAGATTTTAAAATCAATCACGAATTATGTTTTGGATGCTGCATTTCAACCAGAGTCAAGGGAATCTATAAGCTAATCTACGCAGTGGGAGGGGGGGTGTAATGAAGTAGGGGAGTATACTGTATAGGTGCTGGGGAGTATAGGGACGTGACCACCAATACCATCTCCTTGAAAAGAGCAGAATCAGCTGACACTGCAGAATCTATAGTGTTTTTCAAAGAAGAGATACATGATGTTATTTTGGAAATGACATTTTTATTGTTCTTGATCGTTAGACTCGATTACTTTGTTACCGGTGTAACGTGGCAGATTCCCCCGTGATACACCCAAACGCAATATAGAGACGCAATTGATGTCAAAAGCATACTCTTAAAATATTAGGTGCACAGATGGCAAAATATGTTTGATTATTTTAGGGTCTCACATGAAGAAGTTTGCATCAAAGTTTCATTCTCTGAAACCATGAATATTAAAAAATAATTCATCTTCTATCCCCAAAAAGGAACATACGTCATTGTCACAAATGCAAAACGTCCAAATGTGAAACGTTTTACACACTTTGAAAATTCAATCACTGGTTTTGACCTTTATCTCCTGTAAGTATAACGTTGTAAAAAATTATAATTATCTTCTGTATAGAGCAGTTAATTGTTTTTGAGCGACTTCAGTTTGCTTGTCACTGAATATTAAAAAAACGGGGAAAATACACCCTACCGACAATTAAATAAATTATTTACTCTCGTGATCCAAATAAAATATCAGAAATATCAAACTATCATGGAATCAAAATACATTTTTCGGTCTGTAACAGAAAACAGTTTTCTATTGCACCAAGTAGCCTACGTGAACAAAATGAAATTTTTTGACAATGTTTCTTGGGAACATACGTCACCTAGTATTAGCCATGACGCAATGCCCCCTGAGTTAAAGTTTAAATATTTATAAAAACATCCTTACGGCATGTATGATATACCATGACACTACAAAATAAACCAGAAGGCTGTATGAAAATTAAAATTAAGTGACCTGGAACATACATTACCATTTAGGGCTCTTTGCGTAGTGTAAAGACCTGGTAAAAATTAAAACATGAATTGAAATTGAGACAGTCGCGGATTTTTGTTCTATATATATATATATATATATATATATATATATATATATATATATATATATATATGCATGCACAGAACAAATATATATATTTTCAAGGAGATGGAGGGCGGAGTCTCAGTTTCGTTATACTGGTGCTCTCATTCTCGCCTCGTTCTCTGACAAATGCTAACACCGTCCTTCCCGTTGTTCGTTGTAGATAATGTTTTCAGATGTCATCTTATATCACTGATAACAACAGAGGTAACTGAACGGTAATAGAAGCACCAATGCAAGTTTATTCTCATTTATTATTAAACTGAACAGTTCAGTGAATATAACTGTATTACATACATACATAAATGTTTCAGGGTTGGTCCCTTCACTAGAGATAGCACTATTGACTTTTTTCTCATCTTTTGAGCTGCCATGTAATCAAACATTTCATGATACTGGTAAATAACGCTGGTTATTAATAAATGTCTTTAAACCTTAGATACCGGTATGTATACATCACAGACCAAGGCATGCATTCCAGTCATCATTGCTAGTCATAACTAGGACGCTCTTCAGTCTGCCACAACAGAAATTTTAAGAGTTTACATGCACGGTATAATTTCATCAACGCGTAAAGCATACTGGTGCTTTATCAAGTATTCCTCAGCTTAGCTCTGGTCCAGTCTCACAGTCTCCACCACAATAACCAGCTCCATTTTATTGCAGACACTTCACATGCTCGCTTCACCAATGAGAAAATATAGTCTTAGACTAGTAGCTCTTACTTAGATCTCAATTACCATCCAGATTTTGTTTTCACATGTTAATTATACAAAAGTCAAATGATTAATTGCACAGGTTTTTCAAGTGTTGGTGTTACTATTTCATGTCCATGAGCCAGTCTGTTGGCAGGAGGACAGGTTAGAAAATAAAGTATCTCTGTGCCAGAGCCAGTCTGTTGGCAGGAGGACAGGTTAGAAAATAAAGTATCTCTGTGCCAGAGCCAGTCTGTTGGCAGGAGGACAGGTTAGAAAATAAAGTATCTCTGTGCCAGAGCCAGTCTGTTGGCAGGAGGACAGGTCAGGTGTTGTCCCTCAGGATGATCAGCTGTCTCCACTGTCACTTTGTAGGAGTCAGGGTCAACTGGAAGATATAAAAAACATGTACTGATTGTAATTTATGTGATAAGGTGTGATAAAATGATTGCAAAGATACTCCAGACAAAGGAGCAATTACAAGGACATGGATAGTTCTTCTTGTTAAAGAAGAACTATCTTATTAAATCTTGTTATTGCAACCACCAAATAGCTAAAAGCTCTTGTTTAATTTTCAGTTTAAAAATTAAAAGAAATCAAACCATTCCAGGAAATCCAATATTGTCTAAAATATACGATTTTCCCATCTTTATTCATGTACTTCTAACATGTCTTGGGTAGCAAATGGTGAATCGTCTGTTTACCAAAAGGTCAATAATATTAAACAGTTTTTTTCAGAGATCACTACTTCTCTAAAATACAACCACTTTTACTTCTTCATTTTCAGAGTTAAGACCACCTTGTCATTCAAATCTCTTAGGGTTCCATGGCTCAAATCTCCCCATGTCTTTCCTCACCTGTTATCTTGGGCAGTAAATCATTAAATGCCATGGCAGCTTTGGTCAGACCTCGACAGCTGTCCACAGCCACAGCTTTCTTACTGATCCCATATGTAGCTGTCACCCCACTCTTAGCACAGGCCTGGAATTGGGAACAAGATATTACTATAAATCCAAAAACAATGTATTCAAACTCTGCAGCTACTTCCTCTTTTGGCTTAATACATAAATAATTACAGTATAAACACATTTCTACGAACACAAATAAATGTAATCTCCAGGTCACAGCTCTCTACACAAGCATTCTGAGCAGGCAAGTTATTCTGCACCTCTATCATCCACCTCAGTGCAAACCATGTCACATAACTTGGTGCAATTGATTGGTGTTCAATGAGAAATTGGGTGAAATTAACGATACCCGAGCCCCCACCCTGACTTGCTCAAAATAAAATGAGAGATATTCTTCCAGTCTTGTACCAAAAGGCTGCTCTCAGACCTGCAGAGTTATGGCCTTATTTTCACCATCCCGAATAAAAATAATAATAGTATTAATAATAATAATTATAACTTCTCCAAGACAAGGGACAAAGGGTTGAAATAAACCTGTCCCCGCTTGTTGACCTCCTGGACATGCTAGTGCTCACCTTGGATACAAAGATCACGGAGTTGGCTCCCACAGACTTTCCGTAAGCTCCAAACATCTTCCTTTGTCTCACTGGCTCTGGTGTAGGAATGGATGCATTGGGCATGCCTAGACAAACAAGAGGCATGGAAATATGACTATGTAACAGAATTAACCATATCTTTAATAATTATGTTCTTACATATATAATATTGAAGTTATCAATATATTCTGCCAAACTGTCTATCTATTGCTTNAGGGTGGGCAAGACGCACCGCAACAGCAATTTGGATTGCATATTCACCAATTTGGATTGCATATTCACCAATTCTCAATGTAATCGAACATGCTTAGGATATGGTTGACAGGGCAGTAAATAAGAGACACCCTCCAGTTGGAAACATCAGAGAGCTCAATCAGGCAGTGATTGAGGAATGGACCCGGCTCCCAAGCAAGATTGACAGAATTTGGTGGCAAGTTGCAGGAGACAATGTGAAGCTGTTGTTCAAAACCAGGGAAGGCACACCCGATATTTATTGCATAAAAGACGATTAATCATCTATTTTCTACAGTCTTCTTTTATTAAAACTAATCCTTAGATAACTGAACTTTGTTTTTCCATGTTAAATTTTTTTAATCAGCACGTACTTTTTGCTGTGTTAGCATACTTTTTAGACACATGGTTTGGCCTATTTTGGTACCGTTTGGTTAATAAAGTTATTTTTATTATTACAATGAGCTATGCGGTGTATTTCTTTAACAGAAATATTCAACTTTCATAAGTTATTTATAAAATATGAAAGAAATATGCATAATTCTACTGACAAATGAAATAATGATCAGGATTGAAGAAACTTTTGAAAAAAAAGAGCATCAGTGTACCTGAGGCAAGTTCCATTTAGTTTACACTTGAAACCTGCGCTGCATTTTCTATCACAATTACATAATAATAATCTCAAGACTTTGGAAGAATAATTTATTTAAGTTTATTAATCAAAATTAAATCTAATATTTTGCCAAGCTTTATTCAAAATTTATTTTGATTGTTTAAAAAATTCGATAATGTCGTCACAACTATAATGTCACAATTCAAAATGACGTCATTATAACACCCATAATCAAATAAACCCTGAAGAGTCCCAATAGGGTTGAAGGATCTTGGAACAAAATCTCAGTATTCTCCTCCCCCTACCCACAAATAAATTATCAAGAGATGACTTATACCACAGACTTTATCATGACAACGCACTTGCTCACTGGTCTCGTCTGGTGAGTGATTTGTTGCAGAAACACAATGTTCTCAGGATGAACCAATCACTTTTTATTCCTGATATTAACGCTACGGAACACCTGTGCCTGATTTGAAGTGTCCATTGCATATGAGAAACAACCTCATAAAAACTGGACCCAATCCACCAGTAGGCGGTAGGCACAGACGATATTAAACAAGTAACCTTTAACGATCACATTCTAATGCTAATTGTGTTAAAATTTGGAGACATTCGGTGGTGTCGTTTTAATTTAATGGACATTAATTTACCTCTGCGGAAATCACAGTGATACATCGGGTTTGATGGGGTACTTGTAAATTTGAATAAATAGTATGAAATATGGATATCTTATACATGCAACTACTATTTTGTATTTTTTGTACCATAAGTCATATGTAATATATGGTGTCTGAAAAAAAGCACTGTTTATGACCACTTACACCCGTGAGGTGATCATTTGTAGATAAAAATACATGTAATGGAGTTGGGACAACAACTTCCACCCAGTTTATATTGTTTCGAGCTTTATTCGTTAATTGAAATATTGAAACTCAAACCACTGACCCGAAGCTGGGATAAGGCAATTTTTGTACCAAAGTCAACAGCCTAAACGTACTCACGTTTACATTTTTCTATTCCTGTTGCCTCCTCAACATAAGGCCTCTGGTCACGACTGCAAGTGATGCCCCCATCTCCTGAAATTGAATTAATGCACAATGTCCAGTACACAAACCATGGTAAAATCATATGTACATTCTTATCAGTGATAGGAGGGCATAGATTTACAAATAAAAAAAAAAAAACGGTCGTCGGCCCTTACACTAGGACTACAAAAACAAAGACTTATTTAATACTTCATGAATCATTCATAAAAAATGGCATTTTACAAAAACATGAAATGTCAAAGGGCTACATTGGATGCGAGAATATGAACTTATGCCACGCACATCAAAGGTTAGATACAGATAATAGAAGTACGAATAAGTAAGAAAAAGAGTTAAGTAATACCTCTACCAAATACTCAGATGATAAATTGACACGCACCCATATACAGCACAACGCTACTGAAGAAAAAAAAAACCCTGTCTTTTTAATACTAAATTGAGCAGGAAAAATACTCTAAAAGGACAACTACTGTATGTAATTCCCCGTCAGCATGATATTGATCTTATAAACAAACAATACTTTGAAATAAAATATGAAAATGACCATGATATAATACATATGTAAGACAGAGGCAATACGGGGCCGTGGACTGAGAGAAATGCTGAAAATGACTGCATTATTTTCATCGGTGTATTTCTTTATCTTTGGTGAAATAATATTCTATACAAATAGCATTCTTCACGTGATAATTCCAAGCAAAAAAAAAAAAACAGGTACTTGAGACGCCGAGATCTCAATGTTTTCGTGTCATCCGTTGTTTCTCTGCCAAATAAATGTCATTAAAGGGATAATATATAACTCTTCGTATGAGATCTATATTTCACAATGAAAACATTGTAAACACTTCTTGGAAATATAATATTATATTCTGTTTTACCACAAAAACGGCAGTTATAGCTATTATTGTGATATCCAAGTTTGTCTTCGGACCACGTGACCTCCATAGATGGCTATACTTTTTAGAAACTTTTAAGAAAAAAAAGCAGGGAATAACTTTTAATGTAGAAACGGATTCATTAACCATTGGTAAGTATGGGGAAATCATTGCTTACTCCAGGAAAAAAATTTATTGGCCAAAACGAACAGTTATTATCCCTTTAAGTTTTTCTTTTTTGTTAAGAAATATGTTAGCAGTTACGACGCAAAACCATCGATGTGTTTCGTTCTCCAGTTAATAAGAATCCAGTACAACACGGTGTTAATTTGTATGTGTTGAGGGCAAATAGGATGCGTGCCTGCTTTGAACGAACCTTCAATGAAAAATAACTTGCTTATACTTTAATGATATTTATTTATGAATACAAAAATATTTATAAGACTAAATAATTTCTGTGACAAACCTACCTGTTCCACAGTAGGCCATGTCACACCCTGGAGTTCCATCCAAATAGTAGACATAAAAGCTTCCAGTGCCCTGTGTACAGCATTTCATCACATGGACTTGGATATCTATGGCAGGTTTACAGAACGTTTGACCTCGAAACATAACACAAGCCTCCCCTGTAATTACAGCGTCGCAGCCTGGGTCTGGGTGCGTTCCCTTAAGATATATGGGCATTGCTGTGGAGCAAGCTTTAGAATGGGGCATATTCGTTGAATCCGCCATCTTGGCACCTGCCGGACCTTTGAATCTATACCATCCAACCTTCGTATTGTCGCATATTTTCTCCGGGATAAATGGAGACTGCAGATGTCGCCCGCTCTCTTGAAGTTCTCTATATCTACCATTACACGGAGAGCCGGTGGAGGGGAACATTTGTACACCCAGGAAGAATACTCCTAAAACATAATCAATTACTATAACAGTTTTTAACCTCAAGATCGTTAGTTGGATGGTAAAAAAGGAGCATTTGTTTACCACTTTTAACGTGCTGTCGGGTATTAAAATGTTAGAGTACTATTTGCGTGTCAGGCTCATATGTTTTGCTCAGAAGAGCCTGTACTCCTTTATTTCCACTGAATGACACCTTTAAGCTCTACATGCCGGTCGAATATTAAAATTACAGCATAGGACTCTTCATAATTTGCACTCCTTTATATAAGATATTTGGGAGGTGATACATTCGAAAAGCAAAGTTTGGGGACTGGTCAACATCTCCCCTCTCTCGTTCTGTTTATGTCCATTATCATATTATTTAACTTCGTCCTTTGATAAATGACATTTTTGTAGCAAACCCTGTGTTTGAGGACAAACGGGGCCGAAGTGAACTTTCAGCATTTGGGGCGCATTTAAGACATTACATTTTAACATCTTGTTTTTCTTTAAAAACACTAGAAAACACTAGAAATTTAAAGTCAGGCAAATTGTAAAAACACGGTCCCATTACGTGTACATTTGTAAATAGTCGTCTACTTACCAAGGAACAAGAGTTTCATTTTCTGCCACTTCATGATCCACTTGTCACAGGTGGACCTTTCAGCTAAACTAAGACCGTGAAAATCTATAGCCAAGAAATTACGTTACAGAGGAATTCGCACTGGCTTCATTTAAAGCCCGTGATGTCTATTAAATGTGTTTTGCCCCAACAGTATCTATGTCAGGGTCGATATTATTTCAGGTCCCGGTAAAAATATCAGTCAGTGCAAACATCACCTCTGCACCTGCAAGTGAAGTGTAAAAACTGTTGAAGAACTCTTTATTAAAATTTCATTTGTGACTTCCACATCATGCTATCTTGGGAATGACATTTTTATTGAAATTTTATTTGTGACTTTCACATCATTGTCTTGGGAATGACATTTAATTAAAATTCTATTTATGACTTCCACATCATTTTATCTTGGGAATGACATCTTTATTGAAATTTTATTTGTGACTTCCACATAATTTTATCTTGGGAATGACATTTTTATTGAAATTTTATTTGTGACTTTCACATAATTTTATCTTGGGAATGACATTTTTATTGAAATTTTATTTGTGACTTCCACATAATTTTGTCTTGGGAATGACATTTTAATTGAAATTTTATTTGTGACTTCCACATAATTTTTATCTGGGAATGATATTTTTATTGAAATTTTATTTGTGACTTTCACATAATTTTATCTTGGGAGTGACATTTAATTAAAAATTTATTTGTGACTTCTATGTTATAAATCACTTGACTGGAGTACTTTGTTGTCGGTGCTCTCATTCTCACCTCGTTCCCTGACAAACACCAACACTGTCCTTACTGTAGTTCGTTGTAGATAATTCAAAAGTAATTTTATATCACTAATAACACCAAAAGTAACTGAACTGCAATACAAGCACCAATACAAGTTTATTCTCATTTACTTTTAAACTAAACATATTTGTATATATATATATATATATATATATACATGATTGAAGGTTGGCCCCTTCACAAGAGATAGCATTATTGACTTTTTTCTAATCTTTTGAGCTGCCATGTAATCAAATATTTCATGATACTGGTAAATAACGCTGGTTATTAATAAATGTCTTTAAACCTTAGATATGTATACATCACAGGCCAAGGCATGCATTTCAGTCATCATTGCTAGTCATAACTAGGACCCTCTTCAGTCTGCCACAACAGAAAATTTAAGAGTTTACATGCACGGTATAATTTCATCAACGCGTAAAGCATACTGGTGCTTTATCAAGTATTCCTCAGCTTAGCTCTGGTCCAGTATCACAGTCTCCAGCACAATAACTAGCTCCTTTTTATTGCAGACATGCTCACATATTCGCTTCACCAATGAGAAAATCTGGTCTTAGACTAGTAGCTCTTACTTAGATCTCATCATCCAGATTTTGTTTTCACGTTTATTATACAAAAGTCATATACTTGCAAATGATTAATTGTACAGGTTTTTTAAGTGTTGGTTTTACTATTTCATGTCCATGAGCCAGTCTGTTGGCAGGAGGACAGGTTAGAAAATAAAGTATCTCTGTGCCAGAGCCAGTCTGTTGGCAGGAGGACAGGTTAGAAAATAAAGTATCTCTGTGCCAGAGCCAGTCTGTTGACAGGAGGACAGGTTAGAAAATAAAGTATCTCTGTGCCAGAGCCAGTCTGTTGGCAGGAGGACAGGTTAGAAAATAAAGTATCTCTGTGCCAGAGCCAGTCTGTTGACAGGAGGACAGGTTAGAAAATAAAGTATCTCTGTGCCAGAGCCAGTCTGTTGGCAGGAGGACAGGTTAGAAAATAAAGTATCTCTGTGCCAGAGCCAGTCTGTTGACAGGAGGACAGGTTAGAAAATAAAATATCTCTGTGCCAGTGCCAGTCTGTTGGCAGGAGGACAGGTTAGGTGTTGTCCCTCTGGGTGATCAGCTGTCTCCACCGTCACTTTGTACGAGTCAGGGTCAACTGGAAGACATAAAAAACGTACTGGTTGTAATTTATGTGATAAGGTGTGATAAAATGATTGCAAAGATACTCCAGACAAAGGAGCAATTACAAGGAGTCATGGATAGTTCTTGTTAAAGAAGAACTATCTTATTAATTCTTGTTATTGCAACCACCAAATAGCTAAAAGCTCTTGTTCAATTTTCAGTTTAAAAATTAAAAGAAATCAAACCATTTCAGGAAACCCAATATTGTCTAAAATATATGATTTTCCCATCTTTATTCATGTACTTCTAACATGTCTTGGGTAGCAAATGGTGAATCGTCCGTTTACCAAAACGTCAATAATATTAAAGTTTTTTTCAGAGATCACCACTTCTCTGAAATACAACCACTTTTACTGCTTCATTTTCAGAGTAAAGACCACCTTGTCATTCAAATCTCTTAGGGTTCCATGGCTCAAATCTCCCCATGTCTTTCCTCACCTGTTATCTTGGGCAGTAAATCATTAAATGCCATGGCAGCTTTGGTTAGACCTCGACAGCTGTCCACAGCCACTGCTCTCTTACTGATCCCATATGTAGTCGTCACTCCACTCTTAGCACAGGCCTGGAATTGGGAACAAGATATTCATATAAATCCAAAAACAATGTATTCAAACTCCGCAGCTACTTCCTCTTTTGGCTTAATACATAAATAATTACAGTATAAACACATTTCTACTAACACAAATAAATGTAATCTCCAGGTCACAGCTCTCTACACAAGCATTCTGAGCAGGCAAGTTATTCTGCACCTCCATCATCCACCTCAGTGCAAACCATGTCACATAACTTGGTGCAATTGATTGGTGTTCAATGAGAAATTGGGTGAAATTAATGATACCCGAGCCCCCACCCTGACTTGCTCAAAATAAAATGAGAGATATTCTTCCAGTCTTGTACCAAAAGGCTGCTCTCAGACCTGCAGAGTTATGGCCTTATTTTCACCATCCCGAATAATAATAATAATAATAATAATAATAATAATTATAGCTTCTCCAGGACAAGGGACAAAGGGTTGCAATAAACCTGTCCCTGCTTGTTGATGTCCTTGGTGTACTAGTGCTCACCTTGGATACAAAGATAACCGAGTTGGCTCCCACAGACTTTCCATAAGCTCCAAACATCTTCCTCTGTCTCACTGGCTCTGGTGTAGGAATGGATGCATTGGGCATGCCTAGACAAACAAGAGGCATGGAAATATGACTATGTAACAGAATTAACCATATCTTTAGTAATTATGTTCTGACATATATATAATATTGCAGTCATCAATTTATTCTGCCAAACTGTCTATCTATTGCTTTAAAAATTGTTAGTGAGGCAGTTATTTCTTCACTCAATTTAAAGTGTATTTCCTAAATAATAATAAATACATGTTTTATTTTCCAAAAGCTGTCTTTTAAAATTCCTCTCTGTCATAAGTATTGATTTTTAGTTCATTTGTGCACTTCCTTCTTTAATGGTATTTAAACTCTCAACCTATGTCCCAAAAATTTATGTAAGATTTTAGTAACTCACAACAAAATGAGTTTTACCGCACTTCTTAGAATATCTGGAAAGTTATTTTTTAATAATGACCACTAAAAAATTATCTCTGCAGGGGCGGATTTAAGCCGTCTTCTGGGTCTTCCGGAAGACGGTCAGATTTTCAAATTTACATTGATGGTTATCTAATTTTTTTCTGACAGAAGACGGTCAAAAATGGAGGATGGATTAATAAAGATAATTTGGAAGCCTGTCATAAAATATCTCTGGATCCGCCCCTGCTCTGGAAAACACCAAGTTTTTCCCAGCAGTCCTCACCCATCTGTGCCCAGGCTATCTGGCCGCCCTTCACAATGATCTCGGGTTTGGCTCCAAAGAATGCAGGCTGCCATAACACCAAGTCTGCCAGTTTACCAGACTGAAAAAGAAACAACTTTAACCTTTATTTCTTTCAACAAAAGTATCCATATAAAGAAAACATTAATCAGACAAAAATACTCGGGAATTTTAATGAAATGCACTATGATTTCATTTTTTAAAGAGCTGCTATACACAAATTCTGTATTTGTTGTCATAAAGCTGGGTTATTTTACTTTAATGGGACCCTACCAGGCCATCTCATTACAATCAGTTCATCATAGAAAAGTTAATGTTACTCTGACAGTAACAGTGGGAAGTGAACATTAGAATGGACTCCTATATATGGTGAATTAATGGCAATCACACAGTCAGCTAAGGCTCTAAATAAAGCCTGTTCTACATGACTGGAGTCACTACTCCAAACCATCAGGTGCCCCCTACCTCCACTGATCCTATCAGTTTCCCCATGCCGTGGGCCACAGCTGGGTTGATGGTATACTTGGCAATGTAACGCCGGACACGGATATTATCATTGTCACCTGTCTCTACTGTCAGTCTGCCTCTGAACTGCTTCATTTTATCTGCCGTCTGCCATGTCCGGGTGATCACCTCCCCTACTCTGCCCATTGCCTGCAACAATTAATATGTAATATGTATCAAAATAAATCTAAGAAAAAAGCATAAATTAAAAATTCATTAAAAAGCTGATGGGAATTGCAGTTTATCAAAACACAGAAGACAGTATTTCACTTCATCCTGATCACAGACATTACTTTCCATCTTCAGCTCAAATGGTAATAATATTCAATTTAGTTCAAGTATATGGTCAATGTCAGATTGCATGGTAATTTATTATAAAAGTGCAAGTATTTTGCCAAATCTATCCCAACATCAGATTGCAACACATCTATCACCATATCCCAGCTGAAATGTCACTGGTTACCATTCATATCATGCCAACCATGTCATCACTAAAATCTTATTATAGGTGTCACAACCAAATACTAAATACAAGACTGACCATGATGTGTTCAGCAATCTACAGCTTTCATTTTGAAATCAAGAGAAATGGATGCTTTTAAAATTTAAGTTTCACAAAAGTGATACAAATAAAAATGAGTAACTCTTTATCAACAAGTGAGGATGAACTTCCATCTCTATAGTCTCTGTGCATGTACCTGAGAGTCTGATGCCATCATGCTGATAGCTCCCATGTCATGTAAGATGTCTTCTGCTGCAATAGTCTCAGCACGAATTCTGGATTCTGCAAAGGCCACATCTTCTTTCAAGTTTCTGAAAAAAATTGGACATTATTATGCTATTTGTAAAGCATTAGATATAGATTGTTTCTTTACCTCATTCTGCATTAATAATAACAACAAAATAATGGATTGTTTGAACTAAATTACTATTTAACATACACCTTTACTTTTGTTTAATATGATATTTATCAATTATTTATATATTAAATCATATGCAGGAATGGCACAGCCTCATAATGAAAGCCATTATTCAGGATGTTAACAATGACATATCCACAACAGGATGTTGATGTTCAGGGCCCCTTTATACAATAGAACTAAGTCAGAGAAGTTCAAAAACTGCTGGGGGACTCTTACCCAGCCTTAATAACTTACATGGGGCCACTCCACAAATACTAGTAGCAAAATAAATCAGTGTTAAGACTTTTCACAATATGACCTTAATGGACTACTACAGTTCACCCTGGGGTATATAATACCGTATATTACTATAATTTTAATAGCAACTTTCAAACAGTGTCTTTTCACAAAATATGGTCTCATGAATCACTTTGTGTTCTCACTGAAAATCTGGCAGGTATTCAGCAAGGACTTTTCCCCTGTATACTCACGGATCTAAGTGATGGCACACCATCAACATATCCAAATGTTCATCCACAGTATTCTTGGTGAAAGGTCTTGTGGGATTGGTGGAGGATGGGAGAACATTGGCCTCTCCACACACCTTGATGATGTCAGGAGCATGGCCACCACCAGCGCCCTCTGTGTGATACGTGTGAATAGTTCTCCCTTTAAATGCTGCAATACTGTCCTCTACACAGGCAGACTCATTCAGGGTGTCAGTGTGGATCATCACCTAATAATATTATATANTTACCTGGACATCATATTTCTCTGCCACTTTCAGAGCTGTATCTATGGCAACTCCACTCTTACCTGGACATCATATTTCTCTGCCACTTTCAGAGCTGTATCTATGAAAACTCCACTCTTACCTGGACATCATATTTCTCTGCCACTTTCAGAGCTGTATCTATGGCAGATGGTGTGGTTCCCCAGTCTTCGTGCAACTTTAGTCTGAAATACAGGCAGCATTTACCTATGACACTGGCTCTATGATGATAGTTTGCAAGCAATATGAAAAAATATTCCAGACATAAGATTTCACAATAAATGTATCCAGGGTATTGTATTGCTGTTATCATGAACTGGGAATAATGCAAAGAATGGATATTTCTGGTAACGATCACATCAGTTATATATTTTATTTTCTGAAAATTGTCTTGCTGGTTACAAAATTAACATTTCTTTCAGCCATTAGCAAACTGCAGACTTCATAAATTATGACAAAGGAAACACTGTAATTTCATTAATAACTTTAGTAAGAGTGCCATAAAGCTTAAGGGGTTAACCCAGGAGGTATTCATCTACAGTAAGGTGCTGAACCCAGTTCTACAGTGCAAAGCTATTAACAATAATAAATCACACATTTCCTACACAAAAATAGCACTAGTGATGTTTTCCTTATAGTTACTTCGCACAAACAGGCAAAGTTGACTGCCTGTGATATTAACACGTCTATTAATAATATGTGAACACAGAGTTATGACATCAGCATTCTACCACATACCCTATAGCTCCTGCTCGTATCTGTTCAGCCAGCTCCTCTACATTCTCCTCACTGTTGGAGGTGTTGCCCTTGCCAGTGAAGCCAAAGTTCAGTGGGAAGGCATCTGTGCTCTGGATCATATACCTAGGATAACATGGAGAGGCTGAACCAAATTATTTCAATTATATCAATACTACATGTAGCTAGCAGCCATTACCGGTGCTGTAATTCCTACCTGACTATTAAATTTTATTTTTAAAAGATGGAAATCCACTTATTATTATAAATGATAGAAAATATCATTTCAGAACTTTTATATTAAAGTGTTCATATTTAAGTGTTCATAAAATCAAGTTATGGTGATAAATTTCAATAGAAAAAAATCCTTATTATACAGTTAACAATCTTTAAAGTAATTATAACAATTATTGACTCTTTCTTACTTTTCAGCTTTTATATCTTTTAATATGAAATGTCCACTGTATAGATGTAAATAGAGGTAAACAGATTTCCCCCCAAAATTTCCTATCCTGCTGCCATTATAGAAACACCCTTCAAAAAGTCAACGCCTTCCAAGAAATCGCCGCATATCAGAAGCACATGCTTTTTTTGCTGTTTTTCCCAGCATGTCTAATGAAAACACAAGTAAAATGAAGCATATGATTTAAAGTATCAAACGTTGCATTCACATGCTTGTCTACAATATCCATGTTGTCAGAGACATTTAATAATGCATAGACAATGACAGTAATTTCAAGTAATAACTTTTATTGTAAACCGTAATTCTCTATAATACATTACGTCAAGTCTGAAGAGGCTGAGTAAGGCTAGTTTACCTGTCGCATAAAGAAGCCAGTGATAAGGAAGTGCATGAAGCCATTGGCTGGAGTATGGACTAAAGGGTGTAATAGTGAATAGAGAGACAGAATGTACCTGAGCAGGCAACAAGTTCACATTAAAAGATTGAAACTGGTTATGGTTGTCGGCGTTGGATTTCCTCTGTAGCGATTTACACGTAACTATTTTGACCACGAACCTGGTAGGTAATACTAACGCGTTATCCGAACTAAAAGTTTCTAACGGTGTCCATATTTCGAGCCCAATTCTAAATTACATTTATATCTAAAATTTGCACGGTTCCGGACAATGTGTTCAGTACACTTTCTTTATACTGACAAGTCAAGGTCAGAAGTACACGCTTTTAACTGTTTATATTTTGATTCTTATGCAATCTGCATGGTTATTTTTTCAACATTTGCATAAACTACAAAATACTTCTCATCGGAAAATCACCCAGCAGCTTCCCAAATACAAATGAGTAACATTAAAATTTACTTCCAGTTTTCATCGATATCTTGAAAGCATAAGCATTATGGTTTGCAGCACATCTAAAGTGTTCTGTTTCAAAATCTATGCAACCCTTTGTATTGAAATTTACAACACATATTGTTTAAATGATATTGCACTTTCTGTTAATTTCTTGAGGGGTGTGTCTAAATGTGCAAATTCTCTCTCTCTCTCATTTGCACGCACACATGTAAACACACACACACACAGACACACGTACACAAACAAACACACACATACTTGATGTGATTTGGGCCAGGACTACAAGTTGTGGCACATGACCCAGATGCTGGCCCTGTCCCTCCACCAAACATGGTGGTCAGTCCTGAGGCTATGGCCTCTCTGGCCAGTTGTGGACATATGAAGTGGACATGAGCATCCAAGCCACCTGCAGTAAGTATCAGGCCTTCTCCTGCAATAACCTCTGTCCCTACTCCAACTACCATGCCCTACAGAGATAATAACAGATTTTCAAATGTCTCACTTTATTCATTATTTTTCTTAAATACAATAATTATCAAGAAGAATAACAACATTGCTGCTCTGGAATAAACTCTGCATATCATTTTTCTTTTCCCCATTATGTTTATAAAAAGAAGGCCTCATGAAGGGCTGAGAGTCATTCCAGATACAACCTTCCAGCCGTGTACAGAAGTGGGGTTGAAAAGAGCAGAAATGTTCATTAACACGGCAGAGATGGTTATTAACACGGCAGAGATGGTTATTAACACGGCAGAGATGGTTATTCAGTGAAAAGTCTGAAAACATGGCATGGGGTCCAGGAAGCCCTGTGCATCAATCTCAAAAATGAAATTTCTGGCTCCCAAAAAGTCAGAAATCTGCTGATGGTTGGAAAGATCTCATTACTGCACCAAGGATTACTCTGAGAGGCAAATTATGTAGTTTGGAATTGAAATTAATTGTCTGAGACACAAGTCTAGTTACTTTTCAGACACAACTTGTACATATCATTTAAACAGGGCTTGGTCTAAAGGAAAAACTGTCCACAGTGTCTGGTAGGACTTTGGAATTGTCAACTACTTACTGGTGTCACTCCATCCATGATATCTGGGTTACCTGCCTTCCCTATACCAGCTATCATACCATCCTAGAACAAAACATTGTACTCATATATATACGTATATGTGTGTGTGTGTGTGTCATGGTAAATCAAGTAAATCAGTAATAAAATACAGCTCAAAATTTCCAAAAACTGTTGATCGTACTAAAAAATTAACATTAACCTTAATGCCGACATCAGCTTTCACAATCCCCACGATGGCGTCCACAATGAGGGCGTTGGTAATGACAGTGTCCAGGGCGTGGTCATTGGTCACCCTGGCCGCCTGACCCATCCCCTCTCTGATCACCTTGCCACCACCAAACTTCAACTCATCCCCATAACTTGTGAAATCTCGCTCAACTTCTACAATTAGGCTAGTGTCCCCTAAGCGAACCTATAAAAAGGTTTTTGAATAAAAGTCAAAATCAAGTATTTAACGCACAAAGCAATCAAGAATCCATTTACTGTTTAATTAATATGAAAAAATACATGTTAAAATTAATAGAAACCTGAGATTATTATTAATCTTATGACTAATCATCTGAAAATCTGTATGACATATTTTAAATTCCTATTAAAACTTAAAAAAGAGATTTACATAACTTTCATTTAATAAATATCTGTCATTTGAATGATCACTTCATAAAACGTAACCCGTTACCTTGTCCCCGCGAGTTGGACCATATATGGCAGTGTAGAGTTGCCTTGGAATAGAAACTGGGGAACCTTCTGCAGGGGGCACCTTGCTTTTCTTGGCACTTGGCTACAATGAATGACTTATTTTAATACATGGTATCATCTTAAAGGTCTTATTGAAATGTGCAGAAATGAAACATATCATAAACTTGATGCTTTGTATCATGTATAGAGAACATGAAGAGCAATTAAACCTTTATTAGCATTTAAGGTGAACAGAAAATGAAAAAGAAAAATAATACAAAAGCAAAGCCCCATTACAAACATAGCTCTTCAACCCAAAATAAAGAAACATCTGGAGAATCTGTTCCTATGCTTCTAGTCAATCAGAGTTTGCAGGATGAACACCACTTGAAGCAGAGAAATGGTGACAAATCGAGATGGAAAAAGATGCTGCATTCTTTTTTACACAACTGATCTAGAAAATCTATTATTTGATATTCATTTTCTCAACTGACTTGTATAAGATATGCCTTGGTATTCATCTGATAGTACACAGTTTCTGGGGAAATTCTTTATTTTTTATTTATTTTTTAATTTTTTGGTACATAACTGCCTTATATATCCAAATAAAGAGGACGCAAAGGATCACATTTTATTTTCAACTTCACATGAAAACACACCTCCCCTATGAACTGCACAGCTTATATGACAAGCAAGTTTCTTTACCTTCCATATAAGCATTTCTGACTCACCTGATCTACATGATTAAATCCTTGTGAGTGAACTCTCTTCATCACCTCTGGTAAGTTCTCTGGCTCCACAAGACCACTGCCTAAACCATTACCTCCTCTCACTACCCTGATATAGAGAAAACATACAGCATTACCACACACTAACTTATTGTTACATATGAATTCATAGTGAGATTTAAATCTGATGATGGTTAATTTGAAAGCTCACACATGGAGGAAATCATTTTTAATGCATTCAGATTCGCACATCCTACTAGCTGGGTCAGTCCAACTCCGCAGTGGATTCTCGCTCAAGTGCAATCAGTGAAATCAGCTTAATTGTCTGACACACACACTCGAACAGCATAGGTGATTAACTATTGTGTGCTGATTAAGCGGATTCCACTGACTGCACTTTAGCAAGAATTCCCTGAAGAGTAAGACCGACCCAGCTAGTACGATGTATGAATCTGAATGGGCCCTTAGTCATGCATGCATTCATGCTATAAGCAATGTAATGGTTATTTTTTATCAGTACATTTGGGTAATAAACAAAATAATGCTATATAAATTGTTATTTGTTCTTTTCTTGGTTGGACAGGAGCTGTGAACTGGACACCTGTGAGAAGTTTATGCACAACTTGACCCTGGTTTGAGATTAGAATTTCTTCAAGTCCTCCCTGTGAATGAAGCGGTCATCTGTTCACTCAATTCACTCACCTGTTTCCAGCAATTTCTACCAGGCAGACATCTTTACTTTCCCCTGGTTCAAACCTTATGGCAGTGCCGGCTGCAATATTCTGAACAACAAAAAATGAAAATTCAACTTAAACTGTTGTCTTGTAGAAAAGCTCTGTTCTGACAACATGAGCATTAGAATTGCTGTCATTTTTACAACCTAATGGAGTCAGTGCGAGGTGACCACTGAGATAATATTCCATACAGGTTATATGTTCTTACATTATTAACTGAAGGGTTCACTGTTCCAGGTACAATGTTGACCCAAAGGTACAGTGTAACTGTGACAGCAGAAAATGGAGGTACTGCCAATGAAAGGGACTAGCATCATCATTTTCAAGGAAAGAGAGGGGCACCTGTGTACAAAGCATATTATCAGTATTATATGTATAATTTATTTATCAGCAGGAATGTGTAATAAAGTCTGTATAGGTTTATGTGCTTCTTGATTGGATCTTACTTTTTGTTGTAAATGCTGCCACACATGCACAGAAATAAACTACTCTATGTACTACTAGTAACTGACCAGTCTCATTCCGTATGCAGCCTCCCTATCAAAGCGCAGGTACTTGCTGGCCTCCAGAAAGTGGTAATGGCTTCCAATCTGAAAGAATACACACAATGTGACATTTCTATAAGTAGAAGCTGAAAAAATGAAAACTTTGCAAAAATCTAGTTGTGTTTTTGAACCCCTCAACTACCTGAGAGTTATAAACCCTTGTCCTCTCACCTGTATTGGTCTATCACACAAGCTGGTCACGGTCAGCGAGGTCTGTCTGCGGCCAGAGTTAATGACCACAGCCTCACTTTCAGCCAGAACTTCCCCTGGAATCACTGTCATGGGCGCATCAGTCTTTGCATTGACAACCTACAAGATTGTAAACAGTCATTGTCTTATGTCTGTCTGTATATAAGACTGGGCTCCCACAGAATTAGATCGATCCATCTGGATCAACCTAACTCCCTTCACGCTAAATTGCTGTCAGCTTCCCGGAGCCAAGCGTGCACAAAAGTTAATTACCCCCTTACAGCTTTAAGTAGACGGGACAGACATTTAAGCTGGTTAAGCTGACAGCAATCTAGTGAGACTGCCCAGGAGGATAGATCAATCTAAATATCTGTGGGAATGGTCTCTAAGTTAACAAGGCATAGAGGTTTTACTTTAGAAATAAGTACAGTGAATAAAATCAACTAAAAACAGCCTGCCTCAGTCCAAAAAGAAGCCAACCTAAATGAAATTCCTTCTGTCTTTGTATTTGCCCAGCATCAGGTTCTTATCTTCCCTTAAGGGGCCTGCACACAGTGAGCATTTGGCGCACGCCACTTGCGCCATTTTCTCATCATGTGCGGGGGTATTTTGGTGAGATTTTTGCCTCTCGCGCGGCTGAGCAAAATATCTCATGTGTTTGAAATTTTTGGTCTCTTGAGGCAAATGTCTCAGCGTGTGCGGGTGCAAGCACCGATTGCTCACGCCATGCCAACAATGCGCATGTGCCGGTAGCCGGAAACAAAGAAAAATGGCAGCCTCCAGCAACACAACAAAAATGTACACAGTTATAGTTAGTCTGATTGATTAATGTGGTCACCATTTGCCATTACTTTCAGAAAAAAAATTAATATGTAATGTTTCCTTAATCACATGATACCACAGTTCGCGGTGCTTCTGATAGGGGCAGGCCGGGAGGCATCTCTGCTGAGCAAAGAGCGCATCGTTTGCGGGGAGCTGAGGAGCGCGAGCATCTGGCGCAGCGCAAGTGGCGCGCGCCAATTGCTCACCATGTACAGGGTGCTTTAGAAACCTAGTTGGTTCATTGGGACCTTATATCCAGGAGTCTGTTCAACTCAATTTAAAGCAACCAAACTAATGTTCAGACAAATCACACCTCATCTTCTTGTGTGGTAAACTTGTCCAGGCTGGGTACTGGTAGAAAGCTGCCGTACAGAGCCAGCTCCAGGTCACCATCCTGTCTGCAGATTGGGGCATGGATTGTAATCTGAAGAGATAAAAATAAACCACATCACAAACAGTTGGTATAATTCCAACCACTGGTGAAGCATAATATTCATTTTACAGTATTAGCACACCACTAGTTACACAAAAATATAATTACTAAGATATTTAAAACAGTAACAAGCAATAATTACAATCAAATTGAACCAAATAAAATGTTTTTTATCGTACCAGTTTAGTTCCATCAGGGAAGGTGGCCTCTACCTGGACCTGGGAGATCATACCTGGTACACCTGGCTGAAGTTGACGAACTCCTGAAATATCATATGAAATCAATGTAAAAGAGGTCTGAAAGTCCAGACCTAAACACATCAACTTAATTTTATATGTTTAAAATAATGTCATTAGCATCATGATTAAATTAAACACTGCTTCCACGTGTATAGAAAAGATATAGAATGCTTGTTCTCTTGTCTTTTTCCAGACTTCTTGTATTTAAACATTTCACATTTTATTTTCAAAACTGGTTACAAAATGAGGTGCAGTTTTTCCTGCCAGTGCTGGGGTAGGCTCAGGGTCTTGTTAATAATATCCTGCTCTACAGAATTCTACTTACACAGGGCAAAATTTTTGCAACAACTTTGAAGCAGAAATTTAAATATAAGCACTAGAAATGCTGTTTGTGAATGGTCCAGACATCTTACATCATAAAATATTGCCTCTTAGTAGACCTGGCCCAGTTTTACCTGTACCATAAATCATTCTTTAGTCAGTCTTCTTTAAATAAATCAATGTCTTCAAATTAATTTAGTGAAGCCTACTGAATAACAAGTGGTCATATTTTCATAAACTTCACTTCAAATCGGCATAATCTTTCAGGTTAACAAAAGTAGCATTTCAATGCATATTTAGGAAATATGTAAAATTAGTTTCTATGTCATATACTACATACAAGCTTTCAATAAGCTTTCAATTTTATTGCTACATGTAGCTCTAAATATTTTGAAAAGACTGTCAATGTGATTTACTTTTTATAGCGATGAAACTTTTTTGCATTAAAACAAAAAGTAGGCATATTTAACAACAAAAGTATCAATTTGATTAGTGAAATTTCTTATGTTTAGATTTCAAATACATATATAACATGTGGGGCTTTAATTTACACAGTCATACTGAATTATAACACAATTCTAGGCTTACTGTTTTGAGAACTCTATATAAATCTTACCTTAGTCAAGTTATATTCAAAATGCCTGATAAACTAAGGCTTCGTTCACATGGAATGTCTATTTTCTAAAAATCTATTTTCTATTCGCACTATCTTATGATCACGGTCTGTGCCCCGAATATCCCGACGCGTAATTACTGGCAGCGCGAGCCAGTTACTTACAGTAACTTATAGTAACTGGCTCGCGCTGCCAGTAATTACGCCGCGGGATATTCAGGGCACAGACCGTGATCATAAGACATACCGCAAATAGAAAATAGAATTTAGAAAATAGACATTGCATGTGAATGAAGCCTTATTCAGTAACATCTGATATTTTTTCTGTGTCCCATGTTCTCAAGATTTATCATTTTTCATTTAATCAACTTGCCTTTCGCCAACTTCTTGATATTGTTTAGGAAATGACAAGACTTTACTCTGGGACATTCAAGTAATTAACCACAATAATCTAATCACATACTCCATGGCATACCCTACCCAGCATCTCTCTTCCTCGGCTCATCAGCTCAGCCACAGAATGTGTCCCATCACGCACCAGTTCCTGAGTCTGAAACAGAGCCAATCGCAGCTTTATCACAGTCAATGGTCTGAGCTGCCTAGGTACTACATGGTGCAACTGATTACAATAAACAACCATTTTATATTAAATCACTGAAATCTACAATATGCTTGATATTTATACAAACCTATTTTAGACATTATGTAAATAACAAAGAACTGTGCTGGGAGGAGACATGCAGAGATTAACACACCTCCCCATAGGTCATCCCTGCAGAAGTACAGTAATTAAATCACCGCTCCAATCGACCAGATGCATAGGGAGATGTGTGAGAGGTGGAAAGACCATTACNCCCCCCCCCCCCCAAACACCACATAGCGGCCAGCACACCACATACAGCTTCACTCCTCGCTCGAACATATGCCCCACTCGTTATATATTAATACCACGCTTCAGTGAAGTGATAACCCCAGCCATGTCATGTGGACAGAATGCTGACCTACTTGGTTCACCCAGCCCAAGCACATGCAGGGACTAATTGGGGATAGCACCAAACCCATACACAGCGTTCATATCAAAACTGACAATGGAAGCGCTGACACAATCATGTCGTACTAACCTCTCACACTTAGTGTTAGGGCGTCCTCTCTCTCTTGATATTTATTTTTTTATCAATAGGCCTATATATGGGATATGTTACATGTGCTTCTGTGCAGTTAAATTTACCTGGCTAGCTATAAGCGCCACAGCCTCCGAATAATTCAACCGAACTCCTCGTGCAAGACGCTTCTGGGCTAAAGCCCCTACTTGATGGACCAAAAGACCTTCCAACTCCCTGGGAGAAAGCTTCATCTTCGCTGGAGCAAGGAGTTTCAACAAACTCCTTGGCTGGAGTTTACTATTTGCGTCGTGGTTTACAGACACATGTTAAAGTTGAAACGTCAAGCTCATGTCCTCTATAATATAAGGGGAGACAGGTTGGAAAACACTTTCTGTTGCCACTTCTACTGACATCTGACATACAATGAGGCAGTCGAAATGATTTTGTGCAATACGTGTTGTTTGTGAAATGCACTCGTTTTCTTTCTGTCTTTTCTTTTTCATGCACACAAATAATATCAGTCGATCACCTCTCCCCCGATAAGATGAATTTGTCCGCACAAGGTCAACCAGGGTCAGACTGCTACGTAATGATGTTGGTTTAATAATATAGACCTAGATAAGTCTGCAGTCCTCGCCGTCAGTGTACGCAGTGTTCAACTTAATCAGTGCGTGGCAAGACGGCATGGACTCTGCTGACAACGGCGCCTGCAATTTCTTGAGAGGTACGACAGCATCTGTTGGTTATATGATAACAATGGCGATGGCGGATGGTCGACAGATCCAGGATTTTGCTGGGGGTTAGGGGGAAGACAGGGAGGGAAGGGGGGCACTTTGAAGCTAGGACGGGGGGGGGGGGCAGGGGGGGGGGAAGTCACATGTCCCCCAGCCCCCTCCTTTCCCCTCGTTCTGTCGTTGTAGAGGCAGGCCTAATACAGCTGGTATATTCATCAGATAGCTAATGAGGTTTTTGTGATTGCTTAAAAATGACTTTTCCTTAATTACTGGATCAAACATTCAAAATTTCTTTTCCTTGACACAGTGACACTGGTTTAATCCAGGTTAAGTTCTGCTAATTAATGTGAATTTTACTGCTGTACTGCATTTACAACTACTTGTTCAGAGTTGGGTACTCAACGTATGTGTATAAACTGTACTGTATGTACTGTATCTGTTAGTCTGTGGAACAACTTTGGTTGAGAATGTGGCCATGAAGAGATAAAGACATTTTTAGACTGAGTTTTATATGTATTTCTCCCCTCTTCATACACTGGTATTCTTAAAGCAGTAATTGCATGTTGAGGTGTATCATATATGTCACTCAGTTAACACTCATATGGTATATGAATATATTTTACAGCCTTTGGAGGATTTCCTCTCAATGTACTGTAGACAAACTTGTAAAATATTAGATCCATTCCCAGAGATTAGATCGATCCAACTAGATCGGCCTAACTCCCTGGGGGTTGACGCTGAATAGCTGTCAGCCGAGCGGGTATGAAAGTTAATTACGCCCTTACAGCTTGTAGTAGGCAGGACGGCCATTTAAGCCAGATTATCTGACAGTAATCTAGTGAGACTCCCCACGGGGATAGATCGATCTAAAATCTATGGGAATGCGCCTTAAAATAAGATGCCCATAAGTTAGGGAATTGCATTGTGAATGATGTGAGGCATATTTTTCACTCTGTTTCTTTGTATCCCTACCAGCCTGTGCAGCAGTCACAAGGAATATTCAGACTGGTTCAACAGGTGCATTACTTCATGTATCATATGCTATATTCCAGCTGGGGCAGTCAAGGAAGCCACACCGGCCCACGCCCACAGCCATGACCACTCACATGACCACAGCCACACACATGACCATGGACATACACACGAGGCTATGGAGAACCCAGGGTCCTTCACTGGCAGACCCAGGCCAATACTACGCAAGGATTTTAAGAAGGTTGTTATCAACATCTAACCTGCAGTACAAGTGTTCATGTCAGATATCTAGGCTATGACAGTGGTGGTACCTGACTCCCACCTTAGCAAAGTTGACATAATATATTATCCTTTATGTTTTATATTGCAAACTATATTTTTCAATTTAAAACTGTAGTAATATGACATGATGTGAAGTGCATGTATTTTTGTTTGTTTTTTGTTTAATTGGGCTCTTACTTCAAATTGATTTATTATTAGTTAATAAACATAAATTTCATTCCCTCTTTCACCACCACTTTTTTATTGTTATGTAATTATACTAACATGTGTGCTGTATATCCTGCCAGAGGGCATTCACCGTGGGTATTGGAGGTCCTGTGGGTTCAGGGAAGACGGCTCTAGTTCTGGCTCTCTGCAGACATCTACGGGACAGACATGGTGTGTGTGTAGTCACAAATGATATATTTACCAGGTAAACACATTGAGCAGGACAGTTTTGTGTACATATTGATGTGGATATAAATCAAGTTTTTATTTTATTTGATCCAGTCAAAGCTTACTATGATGTTTACATGTTGGCATAGACATTAATAAGAATAATGGGCGCATTTAGGTGCAGGTGAGAAAATAATGGGTACATTAAGGGAGGATAACATAACTTGCCTTCATCTTTGACAAAAAACAACGCTATTACCAGCCACAAATGACTGTAGAATGCGTCTTAGCTTTCCTTGGATTGCGTTATAGATCTACTGTACAGGTAAATGGTATCTTAATTGACAGGGATTTATTGGTTGCCAGAGCAACCAGTGCAAAGTTTTCTGCAGTGGCTGCTGAAGGCCAGGGAGTGCTATTACACCATGCTGAACTCCACTTGTGCCTACACAAACACAGTCAATTTCATAATTGTATATAAGTTGGGTACCAAATAAGGCTTAAAACAAGTTATGATTCATTTCCTAATGTGAAAAAGGTAGAAATTGTTAAAGCTGTGGGGACAGAATCAGGCATACATGAGATATTACCAACTCTGCATGTCTAGATCTCTCACCCATAGAGCTGTTAAATTACCAACTCTGCATGTCTAGATCTCTCACCCATAGAGCTGTTAAATTACCAACTCTGCATGTCTAGATCTCTCACCCATAGAGCTGTTAAATTAC